CCACAAGACGACGGGTTGGCCAAGGTAATTCCTAAACAATCATCTAATTGTGTGCGTGTGTGTGCGCGTAAGGAAACAAATTTTGGGTGTGTGTGTGGACAATAAAGGTCAACTAACCCCCAAGGACCCATAGACTTACTTTGGGTACCAAAGTGTTGTTCTTTTTTACAGGGACGGTCCAAAGTGAAGAAATCCGGAAGTCAGGGGGAACCAGCGATGGGTGGGTTATACCATCGCTGGGAGGGAAGCTTCTTGCTTTCAAAACCCCTCTTCCCATCGATGGGAACTTCCTCCCATCGATGGGTTATTGACTCTATTTATTTAAAAAAAATGGTTAACAGATTTCCAGAACACCTTTACCCATCGATGGGTAGTTTATCCCATCGCTGGGTGAGTGCTTGCTTTTGTTTTAGAACCTCCCAACCCATCGATGGGCACTTCATCCCATCGCTGGGTGTTTGACACTATTTTTTTAAAAAACCTTTTAACGGATTTCCATAAGCCTCCTTCCCATCGATGGGAAGATCTACCCATCGCTGGGAAGGCAGCATTACTTTTCTCCTCGCTTTCCAGTAGCGACCCTCCCATCGATGGGTAGTTCCTACCATCGCTGGGAAGGCTGTTGAAATTCAAAAATTATGGCCGTTGGGCACCGAATTTAATGCCCAATAGCCATATTTTTTGAATTCACACGTTTTTTTCCTCCTCTCCCTATATATTCACATCATCCCTTACCTTCTTAACACACAATTAACATCATTATTTCATTTCTTTAGCCTATACCACTTATTTCATCAATCTTTCTTAAAAAAACGCTTCAATCATGGCCGGAGGAAGATCAAAGTCAAAGGTTTCCAAGAAGAAAAGCACCGCCGAACCCTCAAGCTCCGCGCCTCCTCCATTCCCATATTTGGACGAATCCTTCTTGGAGTTTGGCTCGGAGGAAGAACTAACCCGCTTCCTCACTCACTTCGCCAAGCGCCCGATCTCTCCGCCTCGCGTGCTCCCAGAATTGTTTCCCCAAGACAAAGGGTACCACGACCTCGACAACCAACTCCAAGCGTCGGGTTTGTGGCCATTCGTCTCCAAGAGCCGCTCGAGCTTCAATCCCGCCTTCGTCCGGGCCTTCTACTCCAATCTCCGCCGTGACGGGGACACCATACGCAGCAGCATCAATCTCTACGACATAGAGATTGATTTGCCTACCTTTGCTCGGGTCGCAGGGCTGCCCATCTGCGGTGACAACATCGCGACATATTGTGGCGACGATTGGATCCTCAACAACGAGGTGGTCGTCATTCGTGAGCTTGGGATCACCAACTTGATCCGCCACAGCGGCACGCCGACGATTCACTCGGCCCCACCAGACAAGCGCCTCCTCCTCTACATCATCACCCAGATTCTCCGCCCCCGGGACAGCAACCATACCTCGCTCTTCAACGAGGATTTGAAGGCGATTCACGCCATCATCCACGACGCCTCCATCAATTGGGCGAAATTCGTGATGATCCACATGGCGGATTGCGCCTCCATTGCCTCTGAGCGGAGCTTGCCATACGCCTTCCTCGTCATGGACCTCATCATCTCCGCCGACATCTCCATCGCCGGCCCGGATACGAAGATGACGAAGATTCGGATCATTCAAGACAGCACCTTCCGGAAGAAGTCCGGAGACCGAGACGGCGCAGGCCCAAGTCGTGCACCAGCCCCCACTCCCGCCAAGGCCTCTTTGCAATCCATAGCCGATACTCTGAATTGGATAACCCTCACAGTGGATGGCATGGGGCAGTCAATCGAGCGGATGGACTGGACGTTGCAACGCCAACACCACGACATGATGGCATACTTCTGTGGCGTCAACTACGTTCCGCCACCTTTCGACAGCACCATTCTCGGCCAAAACTTTGAAGGCGAGGACGAGGACGACGACTCCTACGCTCCGTCCTCCTCCCCCGACGAGGCCGACTTTGAAGATGCGGTCGATGGCAATCCCATGGACGTCGAGGACGACGAGGACGCCGACTCCTAGAATCTTCTTTCTTTTAATATGATTGTATTTTTTTTAATTATTCACATTCCATTGTATTCCGCATTTCCCTTTTAATGAATAAACATTACTTTTAAATCTTTTTGTTAATGACAAAAGGGGGAAGATATAAAGGTTATGCATTAATTGAGGGGGAATTTTTTTTCTCAAACACTTTGTTAAAAATCAAATTATATTTATTAAGGGGGAACATTTTTTTAAATCCTCCTATGAATAACCTTGTCTTGTTTGCCATTATCAAAAAGGGGGAAATTGTTGAAACACGGGATTGTCACGTTTTCGTACTAAAGCCGTGTTCGTTTTTGTAACAGGTTTTGATAATGCCAAACCGCCGTGATCAAGATAACACATTGAATATACAAGGCGAAGAACGAAGATAAGAACAGGAACTATACGAAGACCAAGAACGAAGACCGTAGTCTTAGTGTCGTTAAGTCGGTCTCATTTGTGATCAAGACCGACCCAATCTTTACACCTTGGCTCTTTAGGCTAAAATCTTTTCATTGCATTTCTTTCATCATAAAAATGTTTTTCAAACATGTTTAAGTCAACAAAAACACTTGGTGATCGCCCAAACCAAAAACCAAGCCATCCGGCGTTCGGCTTTCAGAAACCGGCGTTCGGCTTTCGGTTATCCGCGTTGGTTTTTGGGGTCCGAACCAACCAAGTGATTTTCAACTTTTTATGACCGGTTTTTACTTCTTGGCATGTTTAAACAGTTCTCCAACAAAAACACTTTGAAAACCACCTTTCGTTTTTGGTCGTTTGGCAAAAACCACGCAAAACGGCATAAACTTGGCTAACCGTGGTTTTTACTCAAATGACGTGGTTTTTAAAGTGTCTCACTTTATTTCTTAGCCAAATACATCAAATAAGTGTTTTAAACACTTGGTTTTTATTTTGGAGAATTTGGATTTTTAGGTCGGTTTTTTCATCGGTTGGCTAGGCCGTGGTTAAGGCAAAAACCATAGGTTTTTGGCTAACCACCCACCCAGCGATGGGAAGAACATCCCATCGATGGGTAAGCGGCCCCTTAGCAAAACCATCTTCCAGAACCATGCCAAACAGCGATGGGAGGTTTTACCCATCGATGTTAAAGCCTTGGTCCAACATCAACACAAGGCAGAACGACCTTACCCAGCGATGGGAACTTTACCCCATCAATGGGAACCCAGCGATGGTAAGGATAAACCATCGATGGGAAGGCATGACCGTTGGAAGTCATTTAAGGTTGATTCTTTCCTTGTTTGGAAGTCAACCTCCCACCCAGCGATGGGAAGCATGTACCCATCGATGGGTAGGTGACCGTTGGCTTTAAAACTGAAGGAAAATTGGCCTACCAGCGATGGGTAAGGTCCATACATCGCTGGGAAGCCAATATCCTGCAGATCCCAAATTTATTCAATCCCATAAATCAAGCCAATCACCCCTTTAATGCATTGGTCCGTTGGAGCCTATTTTGGCACTATAAAAAGGGGTGTTTGGGTCTGCTTTTCTCATCAGATCACTTCACAATATTTATATTATCATTGCATTCAAACAACATCATTTTTCATAGCTTTCTAGAGCCAATTTGTGAAGTTTGAGTTGTTCTTGAGCGTATATAGTTTACTCAACATCTACTCTAAAAGAGAGCCTTGTTCTTGAGTGTCTTAGTGTTGTATACACGTTAAGGGAAGCTTGTTTCCCTTGGTTGTACGAAGGAAAGGTATTTTCCTTCGGGTTGAAGTCTTGNAGGCTCGTGGGACTCGAGTTCTCAGGTTGTAACGGTTTGTTAAGCACCCGTAAGCTTAACGGAAGTAGTGTAGCTCGAGAGAGTCTCTCGGGAGGCTGGATTAGCCACAAGTTGTGGTGAACCAGGGTAAATCTTGGTGTGCTCCCTTTACGCTTTCTACGCTCTTTATCTTTCACGTTCTTAATTTTTTATTCCTGCGATTTCTACGATCAAACGCTATTCACCCCCCCCTCTAGCGTTGGTCACTTATTCTAACAACGATTACATTAAATTACTCTCAAAATTATTTTATCATATTTTGAGGAGATTATTTTTTAAATGCTTTTAAATTACTGTTAGTATTACTTTTAAAAATTTATGGAATGTTACTTTACTAAATCGCTAGCGCTCTGGTGCGCTAACCCGCGTGAACCGGGTTATGCGAATCGAGGTGTTACAAATACAATCATCAGAATTCAAATGTTAAACCGGTTTGGAATCGGAGTGCGCAAGCAACATTAAGAATATGTTGGTGTTTTTGCTCAATGCGCGAATTTTGTTGGGGTGTACCAACGCAAGAAGATTCATGGGCAATCCCATGAGTACAAAAATATTTCTTCAAACATTCAAACTCTGTACCATTGTTCTTTCGGTCACATTTTATCTTTGCTTTATATTATCGTTCAACCATAGTATTAATATCCAAAAAGAGGGTCCCACTTCTCTTTTGCCATCAAACAAATACATTCAAACCCCTTGGGAGTAATCATCATTAATAGCAAAAAATATTCTAGAGCCATTTAGACTCGGTGTACAATTTAGACCCTAAATATCATAATGCAACATATCAAAGCTTGTAGTAGATGGATAATAACTAATAGAAAACTAGTACGAGTTTGTTTAACACGAAGACAAACATCACAATGACTACATTTAATTTCGTTATTTCTACTAGAGCTAGCAAAAGGAAAAAAAGATAAAATATTTGTAGATGGATGGTCAAGATGTTTATGCCAGAGATCAAAGCGCTCTGCTCCTTTTTATACACATCATTCAGTCCTCCATCCTTTTCAAGTAGTATAATCCTTCGTCACGCTCACCCACACCAATCAATGTCTTTTATCTTAGGTCACGCAACATGATTTTTTTTTAATAAACTGTGCTTCAAAGTTGGATCCTTTTGTCAACTATGAAACAAAGATTACGTGACAATGAAGGTTAAGGACAAACAAGACATTTTTCAAAACCAAAGTTTTACTCAGACAAACTATTCCATATTGAATAAGCAGGATCCTCTTTGCATCTGGCAAACATTTGTCACATGGCAAAATAGAAGTAATATTGCTTTTAAAAAGATGCATCGCCCATCATATGATTTGATGTCTTGTGTCAATAATCCAAAGGTGGCTAGAGAAAGTACACGTAAGTTTTTCATTACATTTTGTGAGTGATAGAAAAAGTGCATGATGAACCATGTCCCATTGCTCAAGAGTGAGATATTCAAAGTTAGGCAAATAGGAAAACGTCAAGCCATTCACAACATGCACAACTTGGCTTTCACCGACGGCCCTATTGCCTGTGTTAGCGCCAATTGAGCCACCAGAGTTCCCATCCAGCGGTTGTCAGCGGCCTCCTCATCCAGACCTTCAGCCCGCGGCCCTGCCTCCCCATTTGCCACCCCTATGACTGTGACCGAATACTCATCCCTTTGGGTATCCGTGTAGTTGGAAGCATTTGTCAATCTCATGTCTGGGCTTTTTGCAATTAGAACAAACTACATCTTTTTTGGGAGTGGTCCTAAGAGCAAAAGTAGATGGCTCCAAATTTCCATCCACACGTCTTTGGGTATGATGTTCCATCTCATTTTGTGTCAAAAAATTGTAGATCCGATGGACTGTGGGTAAAGAATCTTGTGCCAAAAGATAAGAGCGAATTGGTCCATATATTACCTTGTCGCGACCCATAAAAATTGATGAGCTTCTTCGTCTTTCTTCTTCGTGAGTGGCACAGCAAGAGGTGCCACACATTTTGCACAAACACATTCCGAAAATTTGTCAAGGTCTTGCAGCAGATCATCCAATAACTTTTTCATCTTAGCATAATAATCAGAGATGGTCTACACCGGTCAGCAGAACAGAAATTTGTTGGAATTTGTTGGAATTTCATCACCCTTGGTGATACGACAGATGGTCTACACCGGTCAGCAGAACAGAAATCGAAGATAGTGATTGATGGCGGATGAAAGAAAGTTCGAATGACTTATGGAAAAAAATGATGAAGGATGGCAGATGGTCTACACCGGTCGGTTGAACAGAAATTGAAGATGATGATGGCAGATGAACAAAAGTTTGATCGACCTATGAAAAAAACGATGATGAAGGATGGCGGATGGATCGATCAAACCAGGCCAGGAGATGGGAAAAATTATTATGATGGCTCAGCTCTGATACCATGTCAGACTTGATAGAATATTTTGGAGAAATATTTCTTTATCAATCATATGAGAATACTAAGCTCTATATATAGGAGAAACCCACATGTTGGAAATTCTATCCCAACTAAGAAACAAATTAAACAAGGACAATGAATAACTATACAAGGAAACATATATGAGAAGATATTTACCTTCCTATTTCTAAGACTAGTATTAATTAGTCTATTCGTTACATTTTGTCCTACCTTACTATAGAGTATGGGCGCACATAATTTGATAAGGTAACATTAAAATTATATTACACGTTTTTTAAATCTAAAAAAAGTGAAATTTTTTTATGGGAGGGAGGTATAAGTATATACTTCATCTGTTCCAAAAACTCATTTCCTTTTCTTTTAGTACTTGTCCCACAAAATCCTTCTCATTTCTATTAAACAACTGGTTTTATCCCTACAAATTTTAACCTATCTATCACATCATACCATTTTAATTTTACTACTCACTCCGTCCTAAAATGTTCTTCCCAGTTACTTTTCACACGGTCAAACTTTAATTACTTTCTTTACCTATTTTCATTAGGTATTTGATAAAATAATACAATCTTGTCACCATTTGTTTTGTAGAACTTTTGATGTAATTTTTAAATATATAAATTTTATTTTTTAATTTTATACCTACAATCTAATAAATTGAACTGAAAATAAAGTCGGTCAAACCTCGTAAACAGAAACAGGAAGAAGATCTTACTTTTTTCCATCACAATAAGATCAGAGTATTTTAGAAAAGTAAACATAAAAATACCCCTCCCTTAAATTATCTAATAATCCAAATGGAAACATCTTTTTGGAACGGAGGAAGTACTGTACATACCTTGAGTTTTGGAGGGGCAAAGATAATGAAGATGAGGAGGTAGAAGGACTGGGTGAGGACGCCGATGGCATTAATGGCGAAAACCTTAAGCTCCCCGGGTTTGGTCAGCCCGTAGTAACACCATAGGCACGAACACAGCAGTGTTGCCATGTACGGTATGCTCTCAAACTCCTCTGTTGATCTCTTCCTAACTATCCTCCAAAACACTTCCCTGATGCATGCATGCTTAATTATTATTATATTATATTATATTATATTGACCCACATATAAATATATTATGCATCACAATATCTATCTATCATCACTTTTATTAAAATAACATTACTCATTTTTATATAGCATATATATTGAACTTACACGGGTGAGAAGAAAATGAGAATTGAGGGGACAAATCCTGCGAATTAATAATTTATGGGAATTAAAAAAAAAACTGATCAATAATGAATAAATATTCTTATATAAATATTTAATAAAAAACACTTTGTACCTGCCAAACAATTAAATATTGTTTGTTTAATAGCTATATAGGGATTAGGGAGTACGTGATGATAATATATGCTGTACTATATAATAATATAATATTAATTGCTACCTATAATCCCAATGTAGAAACTCAAGTCTTGATCCATCATGCGGTTTCTTAGCAGGGGAGAAATTTTAGGAAATCTGATGGAGTCAAACAAACAACCTGCTGGGATTTTTATTACCTTTTTTTTTATTTTTTTTCCTTTTTTCTATGAATTAATATGAACCGTATAAATAAAATGAAACAAAAGGATTTAAGAAAAACCTGCCGACATTATATTATTTTTAAAAAAAAAAATAAAAGAGAAGAAAAGAATCCAGAAATGCGGTCGGGCGACAAGGAGATCCAACTGGCAGACAAATGATTGGACTTCGAAATTAAATGTCGATCTCACAGTGACATGATTGAGCACCAAATTTCATGCATGAATTGGTTTTATTATTAAATGATCCTTCCGTATCACTCTCTCCAACAAAGTTTGTAAACTTAATTTTGATATACTCCGTATGAAATAAAATATAGTGTTTAAAATATAAATATAATATTTTTACTTTTTAAAGAAACGTAGCTTTGAAATATTAAATTTTGATATGTGTGTGTATATATAAATGATCAAAATGTTGAATTAGAAACAGTAATAAATTCAAAAGAGAAAATAATTAACATACAAATTGTGATTAAATTATGAGAGTACCAATTAAGTAACATGCCGTGTGTTTATAAACTGATTATGGCACTTCACTTTGATGTATGTACCAATTGTCAGTTTCTATTCACCGCCATTCATTTAATTTCTATTCATTTTAATACTTCATCTCTCCCAAAAAAAAGCTTTTTTTTTCATTCACTTCATACAAATCTTTCTCATTTTTATTAAAAAATCAATTTCATTTCACGCCTATTATTCTTAACATGTTTATCGCATCATACTTTTCATTATTAATCTATTCATCACATCCAACTTTTAATGTATTCATCACATCCAAAGTATTTTTGAAAAGTCAACATCAAAATATATTGATTCAATTTAAGTCATTTAAATAATTAGCTTTATCAAATGACTCCAGCTCACTGCCAATCACATAGGTATAGTCACTATAGTGTGACAAGAACAACTTTTGTACGTGGTGGCATTAAATAAGTGATGAGTGTCCCAAAAGGATACTGCTAAAAAAATGGATGAATAATACCTAAAGTTGTCGTGGAGGTGGCCAGCAACACCTTTCATAGGGTTGTATGTAAAACAAAGATTATGACCCCAAATTTGACATCACTCTTCTAATAGATACTCTCTCCATCTGTGATGAAAACTTTTCATTTTTTAGAAGAAGAACTAAACTAGGAATAAAACATATGACATATCTTCAAAGTATGAATTCAAACTTAAACTTCACCAAATAGTAGTAATTAACTTATTCATCAAATCTTCTCCCTTAAGCACAAAAATTCTAATATTCTTCCTCCTTGCTTTCGATGGCTGTAGCACTTTTTTTCGATCAGGCTAGCTAGCTCCTCTGGTCTTTTGCTTTCTTTTTTGGAAAAAAGAATAAAACATATGTCATATCCTCAAATTAAGAGTTCAAATATAAACTCTTTATATAGGAGTAATTGACTCAATTAATAAAACAAAAAAACTAGGAGTAGGAAAGGAAAATACCCAAAATAAGAGTAATAAAATAATTTACATGCCACACCAAAACTCAGCAAAGCATCCTGCCACGGAAAAAAATCAACACTCCACCGCACTAGCCTGCCACCATCTGGCATCACCACGCCTCAGCCGCTGCCAAGTCCCTGCCCTAATAACTTCAATCTCTGTCCCCGCAGTGCTCTGCTCCGCCTATCGCGCTGCCGCAAAACACACGATCCACCTATTGATTTTTCATCGTCACTGTCGACATTTTTGTTCTCTACCACTGTCGCCGATACCACAAAATCAACACCATCGTAGGCGTCCTGCATTAACAGTTAATATAGTACCAAAGAAAGACATAATGTCTTATCTAAAAACATATAACACCACAGATGCCCATAAGTAATGTCATAGATGTCAATTCACAGTATCACAAAAAGGTATAATGCTAAAATCTGACCCAATGCTTTGCACGACTGCAAAGCGACCACACATTTTACATCCACTTTTATGGTGACTGGATCACAAAAAAAGCTTAAAACAATAGGAAGAGCCCATCTAGAAAATCTTAGTCTTTATCTATAAAAAAAAATAAACTCATGAAAATGATTCAATCAGATAAAAAGCTTAGTCTTTATCTATATAAAAAAAATACTCATGAAAATGACACATTAATAGATAAACCCATGAAGTATTTGCAACTCCTAATAGGCCGGACTCAGATTGGTAAACTTGTAGCTAGATCACTGCTTCAATTTTCTCTCCTTGGGCCTGCCGATCCCGTCACAGGATGTTTCACGTTACTGCAGGTGTTTCATAAAATGTTGCAGCACCCATGAAAAAATAGCAACAATTATAGGTTTTGTTTTCCTAAAAGTTGTAGGAAACTAACAAGTTTGCCATGCTTCACGTTCCGGCCTGGATCGTGAGCAGAAAAACATGTCACCCCTTTTAATAGTGGCTAACGCGAAACTAATAAACACAAGGACCAGATTGAACAAAAATGAATAATACGACTCTGAATATGAACTAAATTTCACCAAACCTGAATCGTGCACATTTTTCTATAGTATAGGAAACTTCATGCTATACTCTTTACTCTATTACTCGTACAATTTCATTCATTCAGAATTATTGTAGGTTGTGTTCGGATATATTGTAGAACAAATAAACTTCCGGACCAAAACAGTGCATTAATGGTTCTTGTAGTATTATTTTTCCTCTTCAAAGTTATCAAAGAGCACTTGCACATTTCCTCGGGATAAAGCACACAAAAGCCAGACTGATCTCACAGGCGGGATCTCCCTGTTTCCATTTCCAAACTCTGCAACGCAAAATATCGGTTGACCATATTACGTATCCCGTCAAAAGAATGAGACTTATTAGTTGTCCACTTCCATGTATTCATTTGTCCAGAATTAGTTGTCCACTAAATCCCGACGGATGGATGTATTAAATAATTTATTAAGACTTATAAAGCCAAAAAGACTGCAGACTTACAAGAGGGGCAGCCTTGGCAGCTCTTTCAGCCAAGTAAGAACATGGCTCAAAGAAACCTCCATAGATCTTTGACCAATCATTCAGCTTCGAGTAAATGTACTTTGATCCAAGGGTGTCTGCCCAGAACAGGATGCCTCCTCTGGTTGATGATACAAAATGTTGAGAGAGATCATTCATCGAATTATATGCTTAATAATCTATTAATTAAGCAACGCGATGAAATTGAGAACACAGACCTGTAAGGTGGGAAACCCATGCCCATGACAGAAGCTATGTCTAAATCAGCCGCTTTGATTGCAATGCTTTCAGCAAGTACTCTACAGGCTTCATTTACAACTGGCAAAAACGTCATCTCCACAATGTCCTTATCCGAAAGTTTTGTCAACTGAAATCAAGTTCACCTTGTATTTAGTTGACTGTAAATGTAACAAATTAATACCTATTACGGTTATGTGAGGTTAAGATGAGAGAGAGACCTTAGGGTCAATGGTAACGCCAGACATTTCCCTTGACTCCTCAATGTATTTCTTTATTTCAGGATCTGGGCTGGCTTTGCGCCTTTCATCATAAATATAAAATCCTCTGCCAGTGGATTCACCTGAAACATTTCCAAGACCCATAGAATCATCTGCTAGCTTGAGAAAGTAAAATATATATGAATTAGGAAGCAGCAATGGTACCTCCCCTTTTGTCTTCTTGCATGAGTGGTATCAACATCGATTTATAAGTTCTTTCTGGAAAGTTCATCACGTATTGACCTCCAGTTGCAATTGCAACGCCAAAGCCAACAAGGTCGCACAATCTGCAAACATACAGCAAAACAGTTGAGCCCAAACATGTAAATTGAAGTAAAAACAGGTTCGACCATGCAGGCAGGATAGTGAATTTTCATTAATGGAGAAAGAGCATGACCTAAAAGGGCCCATGGGCATTCCAAATTTGGTAATTGCTTTATCTATTTTGTAGACATCTGTACCCCGTTCCACGAGCAAGAGAGCAGCTTGAGTGTAAGGAAAGAACATCCTGTTGACAGCAAAACCAGTGCAATTACCCACAACCACAGGGGTTTTCTTTATCTTTTTCCCAACATCTAGTAAGTCGACAATAGCTTGACGAGACGTTTTTTGAGTGCGAACAATTTCCAGAAGTGGCATCACATGAGCTGGGCTGCATTTAAAACAGAGAAACTATTGAACCAGCAGAAAAACATAGATAGAAAACTTGCGTCTCCAGTAGATATTACCTGAAAAAGTGGGCACCAATGATACGGTCATGTGATCTGGTTTTCTGTCCAATTAAGTTCAAGTCAATGGTGGATGTATTGCTCGCAAGTATGCAATGCGGAGGACAATACTTCTCAAGATCAGCAAATATGTTCTGCTTTAGATTTACGTCCTCGATAACAGCCTGTTCAAAAGCAAATTGCAATGAGATACAAATAAACAATATCATACAAACTGAACTGAGAATCTACACGCTACCTCAATGACCAAATCCACATCTCTAAAGCTTTCGTAGTCTAGGACACCTTTTAGCAGGGAGAAAGTTTTTTCAAACTTCTCTTGACTCATTTTCCCCTTCTTCACTCGACTTTGCAAATTGGCTGTTACACGACATGCATTACATCATATAGAAAGAATTAAATCATAAAGTCAAACCTAGACCATATCCTTACCTCTTACTCTACCAATTCCAGCTTGCAAAAATTTCTCATTAACTTCCTTCAAAATTACAGGATAGTTGCAGAGAAGAAAAGCTGTAGCGATACCAGAGCCCATTAGACCCCCTCCCAAAATTCCAACCTTCTTAATTTTTCTTGGTGCCAGCCCTTGATCAGTTACACCAGGAACCTGTATGCAAAGATATTTGGAAAGCCTTAACCATAACTGGCATCAATGTAACTTTACCGGAAATGTATTGGTAATAAGGTCACACCCTATTCAAAGTGATTCTGAGTGTGGTTATTTACAATATATGCATATACACAATATATTCTTTGAATAATAGTCTAATACTATTACTTATCTTACCTTTGTGGTTCCACGAAGGGCAAAAAAAATGTGTACCAAGGCCTTGCACGTGTCCGAATATAGAAGCTCTTGGAATGCTTCTGCCTCCTGCAAATATCAAGTGCATGCTAGATCATTAGACACTATGAGTTCTTGACCAAATTTAAAAAAGAGCCAAGGGAAGAATTAAACCTTCCAAAGGCCAGCACGTGGACCAGACACTATACCCTCTTCAACAACATCAATGCAGACTAATGGATGGTTAAGATTTGGAGCTTGCTTACGGGCCTGAGCTCGAGCAAACTTTAGGATCTCCTTGGCATCCCCTAGTGGTTCTATTTTGTCTGTCCTATAGAGACTTGTAACCCAAGGTTTGCGCCGCTCAAAGATATCAAGAGCCCAACGACGTGCAGCATCCAATAGTTCACTTGGTGAGACAACAGCATCTACGAGACCCAAATTCAAGGCTTCCTGTCCTTTAACGGGCTTTGATGTCTAGGAGACACACAAGAGACAGGTGTACATGAGAGAGCTGAATGTATAACTTAAACAAAAAACCGTATTCCAATCAATATTGTGTATACTATTTTTAAAATGGGAAATGTAACATGGGCTAGCACTTACAAGCATCATCTCTAAGCCCTTAGCAAGACCAACAAGGCGTGGAAGCCGCTGTGTGCCTAATAACACAAACTATTCAATTACTGTGAATGACAATGTGATTTGTAACTATAAATATCAAACTATTTTTGCAATCAAATTTTGAGATAAATACTCAAAATTCATGTTCTACACAGGAAAAAGAAAATCCAAGTTCAATAGAGAAACTTGACAAGGAGAGGATATTTTCCGATATATATATATAGAGAGAGAGAGATGACAGCCACTGATATCAGTATTTCATAAGAGTTTTGAAGTAAAGGCACCATCTATGGCTTAGTTCAAACTGTGAACAATGAACCAATATTGTCCATAGGACTTAATACACACCATTACTTTTTTTGATCTTTACGGAATTAGGCATCTAATAACTCTATGGATCAGGAAGTGCTTGCAAATCCCAACATACCTCCAAACCCAGGAATTATACCAAGTTGGAGCTCCGGTAAGCCAAGTTGTGTATGTGGAGTAGAAATACGGGCATGGCAAACCTAAAAGGATGCAAAAAGGTTACCATATGGAAGTATACATAAATTCATTAAATAAACCGTATGAAATCTTTACCATTGCAACTTCGAGTCCTCCACCTAGAGCAAGACCATCAATGGCTGCTACTGATGGTTTTCTTGAAGCTAGGCATGGGGATGGAAACGAATGATTAAAGAAGCATATATGATAGTCAAAATATACAGTTTTTCTAAGCCTTGGTGTGCCAGCGTGCCACATGATCTTGCTTTGATGTTGACAAATATATAAAAGAGCTTATTAATATTTTCAAGTGTGCACGAACAACCTCACTCAATGTGTTATGGTTCTCAAGAAAAGTGCATGGAGAACCACAACTACTAGTGCTCTTATGAATTGTTATTCCATGATGTTTAAACTATGGAATGGTTCATCTATTGACTTCTATAGTCGATCATTTGGCCGGTTTAATTATTTTAAACTATCTGTTGCCTATTACTTTTGACTAAAATGACTTGTGTTCAAACAGTCTGCCTCACAACAAGAACAGATAACTGTTCACACTTCACATGAACATTTCAGTCTTCAGTTCAAAGCCTGGACCACTTGGTTGACCACCAATTTAATTTTGAACTGTGGTTATTGACTTTTCAACCAACGTTCATATTGACATGAAAATGCTCTCCAAAATCATTTTTTTCATAAAAAAGACATTTGAATTATGATACTACCAAGAGTTAGGAGACATTTATAATGATTTTTGTATGACCCACACACTTAAACATACACTTCGTCATAATACATTTCACAGCAACTTTCATCAAATCACATTACAAGCAAATTTGGTTAAGGTGCAATATGCATTGAGGCACAAAGGGCACTAGAGCCTCGAGGCACGATGTGCGAGTGAGGTGTGATACGCATCAAGAACTCGAGCACAAACGAAGAACATACTCCATCCGACCCATTTAAAAGTTGACATAGAAGATAACACAGAGTTTAAAAAGGAGAATAGAAACTCCTGATGTGACCAAAAAGTAAAACGGAGTAGTAATCGAAAAGTAGTTGTGTCGGTTGAAAAGTGATAAAAAAATAGAAGGGATAAAGGGGGTGATTTAAATTCGAGGGTGGGGCATTGGTTTGATGTGATATAAAGTAAAAGGTGAAAAGAAAGTGTGAACTTTCTAATGGGATAAATAAAAATGACGTCGATAAACTTTCAAATGGGATGTAGGGAGTACATAGTAGTATCTCAATATTAGTAGCAATGCCCATTAAATTTATGAAAAAATAAGAATTTTTTAGAGAAAAACCAAGAACCAAATTAACACATGGCACCATAAGTCATAGACAAAAAAACAAAAATAAAAAAAACAATATAAGTGGTAGATGAAAAATCAAGAACATGTCACAAACAAATAAATGATGTATCGAAGAGCTGAAGTTATTGGTACCAGATCTCGATAAACAAAAAACAGAAATCTAGAACAAGAACTTATTGGAAATCCTTCTCCAATTAATTGAAAAACTTTGAATACATAAAATAAAGAAAAACTATCCCTATTTATAGATGAGTTAACCTTGTCCACCAAGTTAAATCATCAGCCTTGTTCTCCAAGCAAAACATCTCCTACTCCTACAAGCTATGATAATCTCAAATCCATCTGAGATATATCTCCTAAAATTATGACTGACTATACCCTAATTATTGACAAATAAAGACTTCAACACAATTACAAAATGAACCCCTAACTATTACTGAATGTCAAGATTGGTCCAACAAGAGCAAACAATAAAAAAAGCCTCAAATGTCATCCTCCTCGGCAATTGTTGGAAAGCCAATCTCCTCTGTCAAATACTTTATCTTCATTACAATCTTCTTCAAGAGCATCTTCAAACTCATCAAACACCAACTCTTCTTCATCTTCAATTTTTCATTACCTATGACTCCAAGAGGAAGCCTGCAACTGGACTACTGATGTGAATCTCTAGGAGTATTGTGATGGTGCGTCGAAGTAGAAGGCTTTGTGGAGTGCAACAATAGTGTCAAGGAGTAGCGTATGGTATGGCCTCTACTGGAGGCTTTATGCACTGCATCAATAGAGTCAAGGAGGTTCACAAGGCGTGCCCCTACTGCCCATTAGGAGCATTGCATATGAGCAAGTATGCGCACGCATCTACATCACAGAGCATGATACCCAACGTATGCGCCTCATGGTCATCACGCCCCAGGCGCGTCTTTCACAACTATGATTACAAGTGTATGAGTTGTATTCATGCTTCCTTCTTTCACTCGTTTTTATAGAGAGCTATAGTTTTTTTCTTAAACACTTGCTGAGCTTGTGGCGCAGGTACACATAGCAATTTATAGGATCTTGGTGAATTGGGCAAAAAACCAACTCACGGTTTCTAAAACCAACCTTTGTAAGGCGATGTAGTAACCTTTTATATCAATTTTGGATCAAGCCTCTTTGTTGTAAGGTATGTTGGTTAATTGGCCTAAAACCAACGTCACGGTTTCTTGGTGAACAAAGCAAAAATAAATGTAAGTTTGCTAGTGATCTCGCAAAAACGGACATCCTTAATGGCAAAGGTTGCGCCTAGAGAATAATGAAATCTTAAATGAGCCCTTGTGAGTAGTGGATTAAGAATTTCTATATCACTCTAAAATATGGGGTTGTTGTCATGTAATTTTACACACTTAATTTCTCATATTATCAGAGCATAGTTTTTTTAATAAAGTACGCTAAGCACAAAACTTTAATCGTGCCAGTGTGCAGAATGTCATTAAGTGTCAAGCTCAATTATAAGCTCATGGAATTACCTTCTACTATGTCACTAAGAATCTCCACCGACACAAAACCAGGTTTTGGTGTTGCAACTGTGATTTAAACAAAACAAGTTAGAGAGAAAAATGATAACTTAGCTAAGATGTAAGAATTATAGCTATTCATACCCATTCCTCTTTGTAATCCAGCAAAGGCACTGATATCAAAACCGCCAGAAAACTTTCCATTTGCACCTGTTGGATATTAAAAATAAATGTTCACACTTCACACACATTTACTGAATAGCAGAAAAATAAGGTCGTGAAACTTGCCTGTAACAACAATTGCCTTCACATCATCCCTACTCAAGGCATGTTCATAACTCTCCTTTAAGCTATTAAGTACTGGAAATATACACACAAAGAAAAGATTAAAGGAAAAGGTGTGTATGTTATAGACAATAAAGTTTGCAAACACAAAATATCGTAGTAGGTGTCTCCTTTATTTAAAGACATCCATAACAAACACGTAACAGAAGTTTGGGTTATGAGCATTGGCATATGCAACATGATGGCATCAGAGTAAATGTGCATCACACCAGTATCATGTGCTCATCGGTCTCAAGAAAGGTTCACTTACTTTAAAATAAAGCTCATCATTACATATTATAGTAGTTCAGTAGAAAGTAGGCATTAATCGCATGTTCAAATAATGTTCAAGACTCATAAAGCTATGTTCATAGGGGTAAAAATATACCAATATGCATATGATGGTCTATTTGAATTTAAAAGAAAACATTTCTTGAAAACAATGAGATCAGTCTACAGAAAGATTTTCCCAGTAATGAAAATTATTTGATGTACCCAATAAATTAATAGATGTTAATTTGATTAGAAAAAAGGCTAGAGATTCCTTAGTAGCATGGCATCATACTGAAACTATACAATTCGGAACAAAACCCTCAATTAAAATAAACCCTTTAAGAGTCAGTTTTCATTTTAAGCTCAGAGAGAGTTGAGAAAAACACTTGACAACAAACGGACTCAAGATCAACCTAAACTCAGTGTCTGATTCTAAACTGAAGGGGGAAAACTATGCCAGAGTTTTATACTATTCACATACCCTGATTTCATCACCCTCATTTGACCACTTTTCTATGGAAAAAGAGTGGCCTCGGATATCAAATTTTCATGATATGAATGGTATACTCCATACTAAAAAAATGATATTAACGGTTTAATCTGTACATGAACAAGATGTAAAATTTCTAATATTGCAACATTTTCCAGAATGAAGTAGCAATTACAAATACCAAAAATCGGGAAATACCATCGAGAGAAAGTGAATTGACAGGAGGGTTGATGATGGTGATGATTGCCACTCCATCACTTCCAACCTCTATGCTTGTTCTTCCCTTTGTACTCATCTTTCTCTACGAAGTATTTTTCCAAGAAATTATGATGCTTCTAATTTCTCCTCGAGTTAAATTTCCTCTTTCCAAGAAATTTTATCAGCGAAGAAGAGATCGATAAGGTACAGGGGGGGAGCTTTAATTGGTGGGTCACTCCTCTTCTTTATTGCAGTAGATGTCCTGCTTAGACGTCAACGCGTGGAAGGGTGCGTTTGGATAGAAACTCAAAATTTCCCGCAAAAAAAAATTATAACAAAAAATAGAGACAGTGCTAGAAATTCATCAGTAGGTCTTCTGTAAATTATACCGTACATCCATTTGCAAGTTGGGGAAGGTGATGGATTGCCCGCGCGTTGGGGCGGCGACTTGACCCTAGGTAATGGCGGCAACGACAGTTGACCTCTGCAGCGGCAATGCTCCCGAGACTACAGTTGATTAGCCTTCCTCCCTTCCTTTGGATGGGTTTGATTTTACAATTCTACTCTCTCTAAATATTTGTTCAAGATGAATGGGCGAATCAGAGATGGTGAGGACGACCTGACGATGGCGAGGCAGAACATTTCTATTATAATAGGGGTTGCAGATTCCAGAGGTACGTAGCACATGAATTGATTCAGAATTGGGGTGGTATGAATGATATGTTGCTTCAGAATGAACACTGCGTTATTTGAGAATGAACATGCACCACGTTTCAGAATGAACAATACCTTATTCGTAAATAAATATTATAATTGTAATGAACAAATATATGAAAATAAATACTACGTGACTCAAAATGAACACCATGTTATTTCAAACTGAATACTCTTTTACTTCAAAACAAGTATTGTCCGACTGTACCATAGTTCTTATACAATCGGTTGTACTGTACATGCACTCATAGACTTCTTCTCACATAGAATTGGATGTCATATTAATTATGACATCAGATATTTATGGTGTCTTGATAAAAAAATCAATGATTCATAATACAACCCACATATTTGTCATCGCCCCACCATCCTAATGAATCTCTCTTTCTAAAATGTTGAATTGATACAATGATTAATTTAGCAAATTGGCATTTTGGGAAAGTGAGGTGGAGTTAAGAGTGAGAACAGATGTAAAATTATTTATTTTTTGATCGAAAAATCATAGGAACTCAAAATTGGCCAACCTTAAAATTAGTTGAAGTCATGATTCGACATTGCCCTTGATATCATAAGTGTTAATTTTGTTTGGGCCTAATATACCATTAATAATATATATACCTCATCGTTTTAGTGCCACATTTTATGTTATCTTTGAAGTTAGGTTCTTTGAAAATTCAAACAACTTTAGTAGTTTTTTAAGAGAAATGCCAGAACACAACAGTTCTTTTGACCTTGGAAATCAAGGTCATGTTATGACCCGGGACACTTACAGTGCTCTGTTGGTAAAATTGATGGTTTCTATCCCCTAAATCTGTAAATTCTTTGGTGCCCCTCTTAAATAAGGTATTTTAAAACACTCCTTATGTGCACCAATAACTAATAGACAATTGTACACATATGCCCACATCTTTTAAGTATGATTTAATAAACTTTTTAAATTAGTAATTAGGCCCAGAGATATCTAAGCAAATTAACAGTTAATCTTCATTTCTTCCTCTTTCGTTTCTGTCCACAAGTTCCCATGATTTCTTTTTCATTTCTCTTGCTCAATTTCTATATTTTACTCAATTAATATAAACGGAGAAATTATATTGTAATAATACATATAACAATAAGTCAATAATAATAATACTTTAGTTGTAATTTTTTTCTAGTATGATCTAATCTAATTTTCTGAATAAATCGAATCTAATCTACTTTTTATAGGAATAAGTTATAACTAATATGTAAAAAATGAGTTAAAGAGATCAGATCGGTTCTACGCAAATCAAATCAGATCAATCAAGAAAAGTATTAAAAATGGTGTTAATATTTTGTCTATGATCAAATAATTATTATTATACAATTAAATCATGTTAGATTATTTATTTAACGTTGCATATAATTTAATATTTACATTTCCTTCCCTAAAAATTAATAATTTCTATTATAATATTATATGCAATTAAATAATAATAATGTTAGATAGAGTTTATTGCACTAATACCCTTTATTATTTGGTAAAATGTGCAACGTGACCTCATGGTTTTAAAACTTATGTCATTGTCCTTCTGGTTATGATATTGCTAGACCAATGTCCTTCAAAAATAAAATATATTTGAAATATTAGGTGAATAGTTCCGCTACCCCATAGGTTTTTGGAAATGGGCACCAACGCCCTCTCTCTTTTTCTTCATTGTTTTATTTACTCTTTTCTATTATTTTTTCGTAAGTGTTTTTTAATTTCTTTTTAAAAATATTTTTTATAATTTTTTTAATAATTAAAACTTTATGTGTTTTAAATTTAAAAGTCAATTATATAAAAATAATTAACGTACATTTCATTTGTGTCAAATTAAATATTTTCATTTTTTTCCAAAAGAGATCCTTATTGGTTCATTTTCATGATACAAAACTCTTTTTACACTAAAACTCGTTTCTCATTTCCTGATTTCTTTATTTATTTTTTCTCCCTTTTTGATTTTTTAAAATTAAGTTATACCATTTATCTTATTTTAATCAAAATTAAAATCATAGAAAAAAGAATAGAAAAGAAAATAAGGAGAAAGAAAGGTATATGAAAAAAGTAATGAGGAAAAATTAAGTCACAAACAAAATCTCTTGCGCATCGGTCCAAAAAATATTATTGATATATAATTAATTATAGATTAAAAGACCTTACTCAATACTCTTTTTGTCCTGACATATTCACAAAAAATAAAATAAAATTAGAGAAAAATTAATTTGACAAATGAAGTAAAGGTTAATTTTTTCATTTCATTTTTTATGTCCAACACAAACAATTTTTTTATTTTTTAATTGTTTTTTTAAATATAATTTTGAAAAACAACTTTTCATTATTTCAAACACATACATTTTTCTTCTCTTTATAAATAAAGAAAAATAGACTAAGAGCTCGTTCTTTAGGACTGGAAAAAAAGAGCTAGATGTTGGAAGAAACTAGAAAAAACTGGAAGAACTAGAAGAAATTGGGAGAAACTGGAAGGAACTAGAAGAAACTGGAAAAAATTGGAAGGAACTGAAAAAAAATTCAAAAAATTGGAAAACCTAAAAAACTTTAAAAAAATTTATTTTAAATTATTGTTGTTATAATCTGTTATTATTATTATTATTATATTATTATTATTATTAATATCATCATCATCATCATAATCATCATCATTATCACGTTATCTTAATGAATGCCTTTAAGATACAAAAAAGTATTGTTATTTTTAAATACAAAAAAACTACTTTTGCAAAAAAATAATTATAGTATAAAGTTAGCATAAATATAAAAATATTAAATTTTAAAAAGTCTTTGTTGTTATATTGCACCTCAATTTATTTATGCAGTGTTTATTATAAATAATATATTTGTAATTATACTTTATATATTACAAGATTTTGTTTTAAATATGAGACATGTCACATAATGTAATCAAACCTATTTTTTCTTTCATGATTGACATTTTATTTTCATTGAAGTCCTATTTTTGGAATAAATACATAGAACTTTTTTTATACATTTTTTATGTTTTACTCCTATTTTAGTCTTTTTCTCTAAACTATTTCGACTTACAATTTTTTTATAAAAATTAGAAAAATGAGCAAATTTTAAGTAATAAAGGGAAAGGCGAGAGGTCTTATATAAAGTTAGATTAATAAAACATTCAATGTCACTATTTTATCCATAATTTTTTTAATATAATTTAACATATTGATGTTTTCCTGTTTTATCATGTAGAGTAATATACAAAAAATTGTCTTATTCATATTGAAAAGTTGAAGAAAAAAATAATAAGTGTGAATCGTAAAAATAGTGAGATGAAAAAAATAATTTATAAACTATACTTATGAACATAACAGTTGTAATAATAATAATAATAATAATAATAATAATAATTTTAATAATAATAATAATAATCACATTAAAATATATCGTTTTTAGAGTAATTGGTTAAGGAGTAGAAAAAGTTTGAAGAAAATGAGAATAATTGGAAGAAACTGGAAGGAATTGGAAGAAATTGGAAGAAACTGGAAGAAACTAGAAGGAACTGGAAGAAACTGAAAAAAACGGGAAAGAACTGGAAGTTAAGAGTTCAAGCCCTAAAGAACAGGCTCTAAGAAGTGAAAAACTCATTGATGATAAATAAATCCAAACGAACTATAGTCTGTTCTTCTTTAATTTCACTTTGCCATTGTAACCATACTAGTTAAATGAAAATCGAAGAGATAATAAAGTTTTTTCCATAGGAAATATTGTATCCGTAAGAAAATCAGAGAAATAAATAAAACATAGATAATGTAAATTTTAAGAAAAAATAGATTGAGATTGAAGGGTCCTTAGGGATGAGCTAGATCTTGAAGAAAAATAAAAATTTGAAGAGATTCAGCTTTGTTTCTTTGATTTACTACTTCAGATTTGTCTAGAAAATACAAACCTAGAATTGCTGGAGCAAGAAAATTAAAGATATGGTTAAAGAACCGACGGGAACTTGGTGACAGAAACAGAAGAGGAAATGAAGATTGACTTTTATATTGCTTAGATATCTCTCGGCCTAATTACAAATTTAAAAATTAAAGTTAATTTAATCATACTTAAATAATATGGCGTATATCTATATGTGTCTATTAGTGAATTGTTCTAAAACACCCTATTTAAGAAGTGCACCTAAGGACTTGCCCCCTAAACCTCCCCCCATGCCCCCTGCACCTCACCACAACACCTCTTTCCCCCCTGAATCGCTGATTTGGGCAATCCAAATCGATGATTTAGGGCGGGGGCAGATGGGTGCAGGAGTAGAGGATTTATGGGAGGTAAGAACCATCAATTTTACCAACGGAGCACCATAAGTGCCACAGTCCAGATCATAATACGACCTTGAATTCATTGGTCTAAAGAACCTCACCAAAAATGTGAAATATTTTAGATTTGTGGAGGCTAGATATTTTTGGGCTTGACTTAGGTTGACCCGTCTTATTATTAGCCCGTCTTTGTTTCTTGGGGAACAAGCTTCGCAACCTTAGGTTTTTTCCTATATATATGCATCTTGTACTTGTAATTCAGGGACACGACAAGTGAATAAAATCCTCCTGTTGCAGCCGTGGATTAGGGAAAATGAACCACGTTAAATTTTTGTGTGTCGTTTGTGTTCTGTTCTATCTTGATTCTTGTAGATATTTGTGTGTGTTGTGTGTTTAGTTCCTAACAACTGATACCGGAGCTTGGTTGTCCAATGAGAACACAAAATGAGAGAAAATCTGTTACGTAGGGTACATTCATCAATTGTGCGTGCAGAGCCTGGATATCGCTGCACTGTTCACCGATCTTGCGCTGCATTGTTCACCGATCTTGAAAGTGAACGCCAATTTGTGATCAGTGTTATCCTTGGATATGAGAACTATTGCTTTCCGCTACAGATAAAGTGTTATCTGTAGGCAAACATATTGGATATATTGCTGGATTGACCCGCTATGAGAATAATATATGGGTTTAAGTTAAAGTGTTAATATTATTCTCATGCGACCATTAGTATAACTATCCTTCGCCTTGAAGTCATTACATTCTTTGGTAAGTTGAGTTGTATATTTTGAGGCATGATTTATGCCATCTGAAATATTGGTGGATGTACAGTTATGTTTTGGGTATGCAATGAAACTTAAGCGAAGATGTGAATGACGTAGATAGAATTTATCCCTTCTTTAATGAAGTATAATATCTTAGGGCCCACTGATTGATGTGACTTGGGAAGTGCATGGCCATGCCCAAATAAATATATTATTTGAATCCCACAAGTCAATCGAAGAATCAGTAAACCATCAATTTAACTTTGACAAGGTGACACACCCCATACCTTGTGTTAAATCAAGATATTAGTGATAAAGGGATAAGAGTTATACAAATAGGATGTGTCGTTGAAGAAATTGTTCCAGGAGCTTTAATCTATAATTTGGGGTGATAATGTGTTGCTAGATACCGCTTATCACTTGTAGTATTCAATACTATGACCAATTTTATAGATGCCTAGAATAGGGTCACACACATAGAACATATGAAAGTGTAGAATATTTAAGAGGAGTAAAGTTGCACTTTATTTATATATCGTGTGTATTATATTGTATGACAATATGATTAAATACACAAACATATATATAAATAAATATTTGGAAATTTTAATTATGTGATAATTAAGCTTGTCAAATGTATTTAATTATATATATATATATATATATATATATATATATATATATATATATATATATATATATATATATATATGCGTAAATATACATATGTATATATAATAAATCTTATATTATTTATTTTGTGTTAATTATATGATAATTAAAGTTGACAAAATAAATTGGAAGCTTCCTTAAAGTGCCATTTGAAATTTCCTAAGTAGAATATGAATGAGATTTGATTTTCTTCCTAAACTCTAAAAGGTACATTCCTATTAGGAATAGGAATGTGGATTATGCTCCTTATAAATAGGAGATCATCCCAACCCTTTAGATGACTAGTATTTTTCGGCCCTAGCATAATTTTAAGAGAGAAAAATTTGTTTTGTTCTCTTAATACTTTACACCAAATATTTTATATTTTAGAAATATTCTAGAGAAAAATTACTAGCATAATTTTCTCTAGAACACTCTTCATTGTTCGTGTGTCTCAACTGGAGGTCATATACTTTTGTGGCTAGCTCTTGGATCAGTCCATCAACCTACACATATCGTTGCTTGCTCGCCAAGAAAGGTATATTTCTCAACAGTAACTTATAATAATCATAAGAGTTCCTGGGTGGATCTACGTTTGGATATCAACTTTTTTTTTTCCCGCTGCGCTATCCAAGCGTAGAACCCAACAGATGTCTCACCAGATTTCTTAGCAAAATACCTTAAATAAATGTTTTCAATACTTGGTTCTAAATTTGGAGAACTTTGATTTTTGACATCGGCTTACGGCGTGACAGACCAGCCATGGTTCTGCCAAAACCAGCCCTACAGCGATGTTGGAGTGACCAACAGTGCTGTCTGGTGTTGGCTCCTGAAAACCATGGTTTGCCGCTAAGTCCTCCAACAACGATGTTGGATATTGTACATCGCTGTTGAGCCAAGCCTGAAATTCTAGAAGCTTCTTGAACAATGATGTAAACTTCTCTACATCGATGTTCAAATCAAGCCAAAAGAAAATGCCTTTGGCAGAAACTTTTTGAACATCGATGTTGACCCAGCAACATCGATGTTAGGCCAATTTCTTCCTTAGAAGGTTAAGCCTGAACAGCGATGTTCACTTATGAACATCGATGTAAGCACCTGACCGTTGGAAGAAATTAAAGGCTAAAACTTTCCAAGTTTGGAAGTCAACGCCTTGAACAACGATGTTCACGTTTGGACATCGATGTTGGCTTGACCATTGGAGCCTTAATTTCAAAATCTAAGCCTTCAACAGCGATGTCTAAGTGGTGGACATCGTTGTCCCAATTTTTTCAGGATGGCCTTTTGTCGGATGGTAATCAATGTAACAGTCGTAGTCTTTAATCAATTCTAACCATCTTCTCTGTCTCAGGTTCAGCTCCTTCTGAGTGAGCAGGTACTTCAAGCTTTTGCGATCTGTATGTATGTGTGTCGTTTCTCCAAATAGGTAGTGTCGCCATATCTTTAATGCAAATACCACTACCGCTAGCTCGAGATCATGGGTGGGGTAATTGCATTCATGTGGTTTCAACTGCTGTGAGGCGTAGGCTACGACCTTACCTTCCTGCATAAGCACACATCCCAAGCCATTATGGGATGCGTCGCTGAACATAGTGTAATCCAGGCCCGGTGTGGGCTGCACCAATACGTGTGCCTTAGTCAAGCATCTCTTCAGTTGGTCAAAACTCTTTTGGAAGGAATCCGTCCAAATGAATTTGACGTCCTTTTTCAGGAGTTTTTTCAGTGGGGTTGCAATGGAGGAGAAACCTTCCACGAAGCGCCGATAATATCCTGCTAAACCGAGGAAGCTTCTCACCCCACGGGAGTTCCTGGGAGTCTTCGACTCCGTCAGAGCTGAGATTTTGCTGGGGTCCACCTTGATACCCTCCTTCGAAATCACATGTCCTAGGAATGTGACTTCGTTGAGCCAGAACTCGCATTTCGACAATTTGGCGTAAAGTTTGTGTTCTTTGAGAACACTCAGCACGACCTGTAGGTGCTTAGCGTGTTCCTCAGGTGTCTTGCAATACACTAGGATGTCATCAATGAATACCACCATGAATTGATCCAAATAAGAGCAAAAGATGCTGTTCATAAGGTCCATAAATATTGTTGGGGCGTTAGTCAACCCAAATGGCTGTAACGCCACAAAATATGGCCTAAAATTTATTATAAAACACAAGTAGTTTTGAATATCATTTTGGTCCAATAAAGAATATTTTTACGTTTGACCAAAAATGAAGGGATTTTCAAAATAATGACTTTTTATTAAAAACATATTTTTATGGATATGTCTCGAAGAGACGAATCCAACAATACATTTTATGAACCAATCTGATTTATAGATTTCAAGCTATGACATATTTAAATATTAAAATTTATAACTTTGACGCATAAATTAAACTAAATTTAAAAGTAATTTCATAAGATTAGAAATCTTAATTTTTGACACTTGACAACATCATATTAATCATTTAGACTTAATTCACATAATTTTATCTCATTCATATTATTAAATTAATTTGTGACTGAGACAGACCCAGACATTAAAAAAAATAAAAGTTTTCATAAAAATATTTTGATTACGTCAAAATTCTAGTTTTGAGAGTCTCATTCCAAAAATACAATCCATTTTCAATTCGGAACAGTTTGGGCGAAAAAGCGTGTACCGTTTAGTCAGTTTATCAGTTACGGAGTAGGAGAATATTTTAAAATCCCCAAACACTACTCAATCACGCAGCCCTCTTCACAACAAATCCAAGAAAATCTCTTAAAGTCTACAAAGCCACCCATTATAGCATAATAGTCCAAAAGCTTCTCATTATTATACTCCCACTTCCTCCATCCTTATCATTCCATATCACAACACCATCATCATTATATCTCTCTCCATTATTTCCTCTCTGTCGGAAACCAAGGAAGGAGAAGAACCCAGCCCCACTTACCTCCATGGTTGTATGCTAAGGAAGAAGAAGAAGAAGCAAGAAAACATCTAAAGTTTCCAAATCTTAAGCTCAAAAACGCAGCAGCCACTTTAAGGTAAAAACTGAAATTTTCCATCCATTATCTCGAAATAATTTTGAACCAAAGTTGTAGCCCCGGACGATACGATACCAACCCAACAAACGGCTCGCGATTTCGTTAAGTAACGAAGGAGATATGACCAAAATACCGGGACTGCGCCAGTGGCGGCGAGCTCCTCGGGTTGGCTATGTTTCCTCACCATATCCATGTTGTTTCATTCCAAACACTTACCATAAACTCTCTAACGATTATTAGGAACATCCGGAAGGTATCGTAGAGAAGGTTTGGTGTTGGAATATTGAAGTTAATGAGTTAATCGTCGGAACCGTTGTTCACCGGAGTATTCAAAAATTCTGGACAGCAACTTTCCCTTTACTTCAGGTCCGATTTATGCTATCTTACATCTGTTAACTCGAAAAACTTTCTATACGAAAGTTATAGCCTTACATCTTAGGAATCCACAGAATCAAACGGTTTGAGATTCCGTGAGGAAACGATGGAGATATGCCCAAAATACGGCAGGCTGTCCAATTGTGATGAGAATGACAAAGTTGGTGAATTTCGATGTTGTTTCCACTCCCGCTCATCCGTAAGGTTTTGGCCGATAATTTTCAGGTCTGTACCCTTGCGTTAGACTTATCGAATCATTCATCACATACATACATGAACATATATATTAATCCATATGTTGAAATCATCCCAAAATATATATGTGATACATATATAAGTCATCTATATGTTGAGATCAAAATACACCAAATCCAAAAAGTTAATATACACATAAGTAAATATAAACATTGGAAATCACCCCAACAACATGTATATGTTAATCAAAGGTGTTTAAAAGACTTAAAGAAGTATTTTAGACACTCAAAATATCAAGAATAAGATTCACAGACCCAAACGGTCGACTCAAACGGTCAAGCGTCGTGTTAAACTTCGAAACGGACCACGACTGTTAGCAGAACGGTCGACCGCCGCCAACCCAGCTGAAGTCCGTCATCTTCAGCCAGTCAACAACGGTCGACCGCCGGTCAACCATGGTCGACCGTCACGGTAACCCAGAATCCGACGAGACAAATTCAAGCACGGTTGACCGCCGTGTCAAACGGTCGACCGTTCCGAGCCTAGTAGCTTAATTAATTGATATTTTAATCATGTTTCAACCAAATAAACTCATGCATGATTATATATTCATATGTGTTGCAAATTGTTCATATCATATCATTCATTTCATCATTTATATTGAAGCATATCACATCATATGCATGCGTAAGAGATCATGCCTCGTGCGTCTCTTATAGTGTGATTGTGCGGGACTTAGCAGTCAGACATCACACGTTCGGGCTTAGTGTACGTACATGGTATTCAGTCTTTCAAGTACCACCCCCATTTTTCTAGTCTCACCTCATTCGTGAGACTAAGGTGGCGTGAGTTCGTCGTACAACCTGGGCGAATCTCATAGCGCAAGGGTCGTCCTTGCACGTTAGTTTCATGCATCATGTTATCATCATCAAGTACAATTATATTGATTACATAGGTGTCATGTAGTCATCATCAAGAACAATCAAATTAATTAAATGTGAAATCATGTTTTCATCATCAAGTACAATTATATTGATTACATAGGTGTCATGTAATCATCATCAAGAACAATCAAATTGATTAAATGTGCCATCATGTAATCATCATTAAATATTTATCATTATGAACCATCAACTTGACCATATGATATAATGTGCCATATCATAAATATTATTATACATTTTTGTGGACGTATATATATGTATATGTATATGTCTGTGAATTATTCTACAATTCTAGCGTGGTACCACTCAGCGGTTTCCCTGAGCGTGTAGTTTGTATTTTTCGTTAACTACACGTAGGTAACAAGAAGATAATGACGGAACCACTCCCAGAGGGCAATGAGTCGGAGGAGATCCAGGGATTGCAGGCAAATGTTTGATCATCAAGATTTTAAATGTGTCATGATTTGATTATTATTGTACTTCCGCGTTACTCCGAAAATATTTTTAAATGGGTCGCGATCCAGAGTCTGTAAATTTAACATTTATAAGAAATTGTCATTTTCAAATGTCAAGCAAAATTTTTAATTAACCCTTGTTTCACCTTAATACGTGTAATTCCGGGTTATACGAATTGGGGTGTTACATTTTGTTGGGGCCCACCTTGATACCCTCCTTCGAAATCACATGTCCTAGGAATGTGACTTCGTTGAGCTAGAACTCGCATTTCGACAATTTGGCGTAAAGTTTGTGTTCTCTGAGAACACTCAGCACGACCTGCAGGTGCTTAGCGTGTTCCTCAGGTGTCTTGCAATACACTAGGATGTCATCGATGAATACCACCATGAATTGATCCAAATAAGAGCAGAAGATGTTGTTCATAAGGTCCATAAATATTGCTGGGGCGTTAGTCAACCCAAATGGCATCAGCGTAAATTCATAATGCCCGTAGCGTGTACGGAAGGCGGTCTTTGGAATGTCCTTCTTCTTGACCAGAATTTTGTGGTATCCCGATCGAAGGTCGATCTTGGAAAATGTTGTGGCTCCTCTGAGCTTATCAAACAAGTCGTCGATGCGCGGCAATGGATAGTGATTCTTGATGGTTACTTTGTTCAACTGTCGATAGTCGATACAAAGCCTCATGGAGCCATCCTTCTTCCGAACGAAGAGCACTGGTGCTCCCCACGGGGATGCACTCGGTCTGATGAATCCCTTGTCAAGGAGTTCCTGGAGTTGAGCCTTCAGCTCCTTCATTTCTGCCGGTGCCATACGATACGGTGTCGCAGATATGGGCTCGGTTCTTGGAATCAGATCGATGGAGAATTCCACCTCCCTTGGCGGTGGCAGGCCAGGGAGATCATCACGGAACACATCCGGGAACTCACTCACTGTGGAGATGTCCTTTAGTTCGGGGGTTGTCCTGCACACGTTGCGTACATTGCAAAGAAAGACCTTGCATCTCTTACGGAAGAGACGCTTAGCTTGCATAAGGGATACGAACTCAGGGGGTTTAGGGAACAATTCCCCCTTAACCTCAATGACCCCACCGTTGTCGGCCTTCAACCAAACGGTGCGTAGTCCGCAATCGATTATTGCTTGATGCTCTGTTAGCCAATCCATACCAAGGATAACATCGAACTCCTTGTATGGTAGCTCTATTAAGTTCGCAGAGAGTACTTGTCCTTGGGCGGTCAACGGACAATTTCGGAACACGTGGTGTAATCTCATGCTATGCCCTAATGGATTGGAAACTATCATGGGGTACTCTAAGTCGCCTCTCGGAATGTCAGACTTTTCTAGCATAGGGATGCAAATATAAGATAGCGTAGAACCTGGATCAATAAGTGCTAGCATGTGGGTATCGAATAGTGAGAACATACCTAGAATGACGTCCATGTTTACTTCGGTTCGCCCCTGCATGGCATAGGTGCGCGCTGGAGTTCCTCCTTGTTGACGATCATGGCTCTGGCTTTGACTCTGGCTCCTTCGCGGGTTCGATCCCGTGGTGGTACGCTGACTCTGTGTACGACGGGCCGTAGTCGGCTGTGTCTGCGCATCCCAGGCACAACCCCTCTTGAAGTGTCCCGCCTTACCGCATCCCAGGCACAACCCCTGCGTGAACCAGCATTCTCTAGGATGGTTTCTTCCGCAGATATTACACTTAGGGTGCCTAGACGGTCGCGGCTTGTTACTTGATGCTCCAGAGTGTGAGGGTCCTGACTTGGTCTTCTTGGAATGCTGCATGCTGTGACCTCCGCCAGGGGTTCGTGTGCCACCTGTCGTGACACTGCCCTTGGGTTGGGGGCTTGGCTCCTCAGAACCGGCCACACTCTTCTTCCATGCAATCAGCCCCTTCTCGGCTTTCTCTATTTGGTTGTACGCGACTGTGAAGTCTGTTGTTGGCACCGCTGACAAGTAGGGCTGTATATCTGGTCGGAGTTTAGTAGTGAACTCCTCAATGCGATTTGCTATGGTGCCCACCAAAGTTCCTGCAAACTGGGCCAAGTGATCAAACCTATGTTGAAACTCAGGGAGTGTCATATCTCCCTGCCTCAAAGCCACGAACTCAGCCCGTTTTCCCTCTCGGAAACGGGGCGGAATGTACTCTTTCTCGAAGGAGCTATCAAAATATGCCCATGTTAGTGGTTCAGGAGCGTTCTCACTTGCTCTCTTCCACCACTCATATGCCCCTTTACGCAGCAACTGGACAGCTAGCTCGGGACGATCAGCTTCCGGAATCCTCAAGTTCCTTAGTACCCTCGTGGTTTGATCCAACCAGTCAAAGGCAATCTGTGGTTCCGCAATGTTGTCACCAAGAAACTCCTCGGCGCCGTTATCCTTTAATGCTTTAGGGTGACCTGCCGAGCTGGTGGCGGAGGCGGCGGTGGTGGCGGCTGGAACATCTGTGCTTGCTCCATCCGCTGTAGGAAGTGCATCATGAAGGCCGGTAATGCGGGGTCCAGCTGACCTCCAACATTCTGGTTGTTTCCCTCGTTCTAGGGCACGTTCTGTTGTCGCGCATTTTGTTGGGGAACGAAGCTGGACCTTTCGGTGTGGGCATCAACGTGTTCGTCGTCGATGTGGTGGGTGTTAGTGGAAGCTTGACTCATTCTATAAGAATTCAAACTTTCCTAATCAGTCAATAACATATAACAAACAAAGCTTATTAACTTATTACCTTCCCGGGCAGATGAGTCTCAAGAGATGTGGTGTAGCCTTTTGGAAACCATCCATTCGTGATCCGAAGATCGGTTTTAAAACCATATGCTCCGATACCAAAATGTAACACCCCAACCCGCATAACCCGGATCCACAGGTTAGCTAATCAGGTTGCCACTATTCCGGTATCTAACATACGCTACTTTTCAAAACAATTTAAGAAAACATCCAATAGTTCATCAAAAACCCAATATCGGAGTAAACTGAAATAGTGCGGAAGCTTGATAAATAAATAAATGCAACTTGGGACTCATGCCCGAAAACGTATTAAGTTATTCATAAATAATTCGGAGTTCCAGGTCCTCCATTTGTTCCACCCACATCTCCTCGTCCTCATCTCCTTCCGGGATCGGCTCTAGATTCATCTTCTACCTGATTACCTGCGTGTAGCACACAAACAACTACACGCTCAGCATTGACGCTGAGTGAAATATAGCTAACGTCAAGTAAACAATCAAACGAATCCACAATTCATAATAGTCAAGTGATATCATGCAATCAACACGTAGTTCACACATGCACAGTGCAACTCACATAATTACCTGGCGCTTTCCTGTTCCATTCACTTCCAACATGTGAGTTTATCATGTTTAGTAGATCACTAAACCCTGTCCCTATAACCTACACTAGTCTAAGGACTATAACTTTACTGTATGGGAGACATGAGGGGTCCCACTGGATTAGCGGGTCATGCTCAACCAACGAAGAAGTTCTCCGTTGGGTGGGTGGAATCCCCACATGATGGATCACCAGGCAGTTCAAGGATACCCGTACATACGTTTTTACCCGGTTTGACTTAACCATTGGAGCCCAGCAGGCATCCACCTGGTTTATACTCTTACTTCCTATATTTATATCAGTCCCAAAGGTTCCCCCTGGGTAGACTTACCTTACCAAACGTGTTGGATCAACACGTGGTACCTGTTTGCTGTGCGCTGGATCAGCCCACTTGTGCTTGCGACATCATGTGCAAAACATTCATAGATATATACTTCACATAGTCATTTAGTGGTTGGTCTGGGGCAACACCCTTGTAGGATCGTTTTCTGGAACTTCTTAGTGGGTCACCCATCCTGGGACTACTCCTGTTCCAGCACGCTTAACTACAGAGTTTTGAAGTTAAAGAGGTGTCAAATGCTTCCTAAAACCCATTGGTGATAGGAAGGTGAACACTTTGTATTTAACCACATCTCTCTGTAGCCCCAAGCCAAGAGGTTCCTATAGGGCACCCCCTATAGTTCACTACGGCAGTGCGGAGCCCCACTACTGAGCGGTAGATGGACAGGAAGGGCTTCGCAAGATACACGACTCATGTACCTTGTCAGGTTGGGCTGTCAATACCCGATACCGTGACAAGCACAGTAGCGAATCCCTAAGGGTGATCGATGGTCCCCCATAAGACCAACAATCTCCCCCCCAGCGACAGCTGGGGGATTCGAGCCTGCTTCCTCGCTCCGATACCACTTGTAGGATCGTTTTCTGGAACTTCACTGTGGGTCATCCATCCTGGGACTACTCCTGTTCCAGCACGCTTAACTACAGAGTTCTGAAGTTAAAGAGGTGCCAAATGCTTCCTAAAACCAATTGGTGATAGGAAGGTGGACACTTTGTATTTAATCACATCTCTCTGTAGCCCCAAGCCGAGGTAGATTCCTATAGGGCACCCCCTATAGTTCACTATGGCAGTGCGGAGCCCCACTACTGAGCGGTGGATGGACAGGAGGGGCTTCGCAAGATACACGACTCATGTACCTCGTCAGGTTGGGCTGTCAATACCCGATACCGTGACAAGCACAGTAGCGAATCCTTAAGGGTGATCGATGGTCCCCCATAAGACCAACACCCCTGACTTCCCGTCATGCAATACACACAAGCCCCGGAGTCCGCCCTCGGCGAACATGATTTGCTGCCCGGTTCAGGTACCAAACGGTACCCTTAGCGGTAGGGGGTACCGCCCCCACGGTACCAAGGTACTGTCCCACGGTACGTGGGTACTAACTGGAATGTCGGTTTCCTTCACACGGTACCCTGTCACGGTAGCCGCTACCGACTGGGCGGTAGGGCCTACCGTCCACCGGGCACCAAAGTACCGGTTGGTGTCAGGTACCGGCAGAGGAAGGTGGAAACAAGGAGAGTGACGGTACCCGGGTACCGTCTCGGCGGTACCGACCTACCGTCCGCTGTAACATTTCGAGTTTCCGCACCAGCTCGTTTTCCACTCAACAGTCCATACCAATTTTTTTCCAATTCCACAGTTAAGCATGATGATAAACACGTAACAAATATCACGTAAGCACATAAGCATCAACATATGCCTAAAACATGAATTCTACCCATGATTTCCATCAAAATCCGACAATTCTCGTATGATTGTAACAATAAGGATTTTCATGCAATTCAATCATCACAACGATCACGAATGTAGATTTAAAACCTAATTGACTACTCTAACGTTAGGGTTCCACTTACTCACCTCGAAACGACGAAACTAACTCACGAACGAAAGGTTTTAATGGCGACGAGACAGCGGTGGTTGGCCGGCGACCTCTTCCTCCTTCCTCTTCTCTTCTTCTTCTTCTTCCTGGGTGCTGCAGCAGTTGTCGACAGAGAGAGGGAGTGAGAGACGCGCGGTTATGTGTTGATATATGTGGAGGCGTAAAGGGTTTTAGGCGTGTAGGCATATATTTATATTTTTGGGGTTTTAGGCTCCGTATTAACTTAATATACCTGGCCCAAACGTACTTTCCGGGCCCACGAGCTCTAAATCTGAATCCGATCGCGCCGTTGGATTCGTTTCGTTGAACCCTACACAATGGTATAACTTTTAACGTTTATTGCTAACTTCTTAAAATAGATCCGGGATCCGTCTCAATAACTAATTAATTATAATTAATTAATTAATTCTGATAGGCCGGGTTTCGAGGCGTTACAGTGTTTGGGTCTATTTTTCACATCACATTACTTCACAACTCTTATTATTTCATTGCATTGCATCCATATACTTTTCATAGCTTTTTGAGAGCCATTTTCACAGCATGGACTCAGACGAGTCGATAGAGCACGAGCATGACGATGCTATGGACCTTGGACTGAGCGTAGCATACTTTGATCGCTCTAGCAGGTGATTCTACATATATATCTTATTCTTTGCATCTAACGTATGATTATAATATATATTGTAATGTTGTAATTATAATTTCATACAGTGTCGTCTTCACGGAGGAGGGAGCTCAGATCATTTGTTCCACATTCCAGCGGAGGCTTGATCCAGCAGGGGGTAGTTGGAAGAGCCTAAGCGACGCGATAGTGGACTTTTACAGGAGAGAGTTTCAGGTAAAATTTGGTTAGATACAAATATCAAATGTATGCTTTCCATATTTTGTATTTTGTTTAAGATATTTTTTGACATGTCAGACCTAACTTCTTTTTTAAATTTAGAAACATGCTTCTTGGGACCCTCGCATGATCAGGTTATGTTCCGTGCTTGGTGATCGAAGGCTAGAAGATGATACACTGATTGGTTGTCATCTATTAGGAATGAGAAGAAAGGAACAGAGAAGGTGCAGCCACTTGTACCGCAAACATGGAAGGAGGTATTTCTAAATTTCTTTTAAATTGATGAGTTACGTTATACGCTTCAAGTCTGAAATGGGAAAACATCTCACACACACACATATACACACATTTAAATATTTGTATATTTGTATTTATATGTTAAACAGTATTGGAAGTCGCCAAAGTTTTTGGCATCCTCCAAGCAAAACAAAAAAAATCGTCGTGGCGGGGACGAAAATGCCCCTGCTAATGCCACGCACACCGGTGGTCCATTGTCTTTTCGCGAGACTCAAGCGCACCTTGTAAGTATTCTTACTAACAAAAATTACATTTAAATATTCTAAGTGACGTGTTTCCACTTATTTATATATTTTATTTTTTTAAGGGTAAAAGTGGAAAGGCTTCTAACTTGTACTCTTCGTATACACACACACATAAGAAGAAACATGATGGGAAGACCTACGTCAATAAGAAGGCAGAAGAAGTATCTGTAAGTGACAATTAATATGTATATTGTATACGGAGTATATAAATGATTAGTTTTCGTTGAATTCAATTGAATGTGAATTCATACTACTCTACTTATTTTGTTTTTTATGTTAATGTATATACATATATGTTTGGTGTGTTGCAGCAAAACTACATAGCCATGCACGAGGCAGTCCATGAAAAGGGCTTAAATGTGACACCTGACGAGATTTTTATATCTACAGTCGGAGGACATGATGCCAAGAATCGTGTTCATGGTGTTGGAGATCTCGCACGGAGCCTACCACGAATGGATGCTAGTCAGGCAAGACGTGCTAGTACCAGCTCTATGTGGGACCCTCGAGATGATGAGATATGGAGATTGAGAGAAGAGCTAGATGACATTAGAAGTTCCCAAGCGCGTGAACTATTGTCAATTAGAGAAGAGATGATGCGACTCTATGGAGGAGTTTTCCCACGTGGAAATGGAGATAATGGCGGTGGAGATGGAGGAGGGTCGGGGTTTGCAGGCGCTTGTTGATTATTTTATTAGAATTGAAGAACGCTATATGATACTTAAGTTTGATGCTTTTCCATGTGGAGTTAGATTTGATTGTTATGTTGAATTTTATAAATATTATTTGAATTTTAGTCGTACATTGGTGACTTGAATATTCTCAGTTAATTGATAATCTTCATTTCTAGTATTTGTTGTTGTTTGATGCTGAGATTTCTGAGTTTTGCTATGGATGTATGAAATTGGAAAAACAACAGCTTTCTGTGTACATGCTGTCAAATTAGCTACGGATTTGGCGACGGAATCTCAATTCTGTCGCTATTTGGCCAAAATCTCATTTCCGTTGCTGAAGCCGTCGTTACATCTAGCGACGGAATGTCTCCGCCGTTAATTCCGTCACCTTTTTCCGTCACCATTTCCGTCGTAACCTAGCTAGCGACGGAATTCAAAATCCGTCGTTACATTAACTACTAACGAAAAAATAACAACGGAATGAAAACCGTCGTTGTTTCCGTCGTTAACAATATTACCTATGGGAATCAGGCTGTGGCGATAATATATTTCCGTCGCCATTTCTGCAGTTTTTTGTAGTGACATGAGAAGAGAAAGTAATTCTCTTGTGTGGTTCGAAGGAAGGGTTGTTTCCTTTGAAGGATCGTTAAGATTCGTGTGACTCGAATTCTCAAGCTGTACGGGTTTGTTAAGCAGCATTAAGCTTAACGTTGATAGTGTAGCTCGAGAGAGTCTCTCGGGAGGCAGGACTAGCCACACGTTGGAGTGAACTAGGGTAAAATTGGTGTACCCCCCTATTTACTTTTTCCTTTACGCCTTTAAATTTTTTATTCCTGCGTTATTTCGTTTCAAACGCTATTCACCCCCTCTAGCGTTGGGACTATAATCTAACATATTTTCCAAAAATAAAGTTTTGGACTCATATACAATCTGAAAATTAAATTTCCAGATTTTTCTTAAATTTTATTTTTGGTACCTTCTATTTATTATTTGGGAATCCATAAAAACAATTTCTAAAATTATTTTCGTGCATCATAATTATTCCAAAAATCATTATTATCAGAATATTATGATAATATTACCAAATATTAAATTTCCACAATTTAAAGTTAATTATATGATTTTATGGAATTAATTACCATATTGCCAAAACTGTTTTTCCCAAAAAATAACAATTAAATACTTTAATCATGAATTTAATTCTCAAAACTTTTATATAGACTCGAAATCATATTTTCAAGTTCTTAAAATTACAATTCCGAATTTAATTGTCTTTTGCGATTTAATCAATATTAATACCGAATAAGATTATTTTAAATCTGAAAAATAGAAAATAAAACCCAAAAATTTATTTTAGATTTCCTGAATACCTAAAATCATATTTTAACATTTCAGAATAATAAAAAATATTTTCCATAATTTATTTTGTATTTATCTTGTAATTAATCAAATTAACTACAAATCAAACAATACCTTATAAATTAGGAAATAAATTCCGAGAATTAATTTTAAATTTCCAGAGCTCTTAAAATCATATTTTCAAATTTTATAAAGTCCAGAATCATATTTTGGTAGTTTATTGAATTTTGGATAATTTTCTAAAACATATACACATATATTTTATTTTATTAATTAACAAAAACCTTAACAACAATTAGATCTACAAAACTTATAATTTTCATAAATCAGTTTCGATACCACTATAGGGACCTACGCTTGGATAGAGCAACGAAAATATAAAAATTTTGTCCAAACGTAGATCCATCCAAGATCTCTTATGATCATTATAAGTTATTGTTAGAGATAATACCTTTCTTAGCGAGCAAGCAACGATATGTGTTTGTTGGAGAAATTGGTCCAAGAGCTAGCCACAAAAGTATATGACCTTTAGTAGAGACACAAAAACTATGTAGAGCGTTCTAGAGAAAAAATATGCTAGTAATTTTTCCCTAGAATATTTTCTAAAATATAAAATATTTGGTGTAAAGTGTTAAGAGAACAAAATGAAATTTTGCATCTTAGTGAAAGAGGGGGCCGGAATTTCCATCATATAAAAAGGGTGGGATGATCTCCTATTTATAAGGAGCATAATCCTCATTCCTATTCCTAATGGGAATGTTCCTTTTAGTGTTTAGGAAAGAAATCAAATCTCATTCCTATTTGGCTTAGGCAATTTCGAAATACCCCATTAAGGAACCTTCAAATTTATTTTGTCAACTTTAATTATCATATAATTAAAACAAAATAAAAAATATAACATTTTAATATATACATATATATATGTGTATATATATATATATTAATGTTATATATATTTTGTTCCTTAAATAATATTTGACAAACTTAATTATCATATAATTAAGATGTCCAAATATGAAATATATGTTTATGCGCTACCTTAATAATAAAATAATAAACAATTTATTACCTTAAATTGTTCTCATCTATGTTACTAGAGCGCCTTAAAGTGTTAAGAACAATATGTAACAGCCTCATAATCAGAACGTCGTAGTTCTCATCTATGTTACTAGAGCGCCTACTCTATGGACTAAACCTATGTTTAAATCACACGAGACGACTTAAACAATCTTAAGGGTCTATTTTTCTGGGTATAATACAGATATGGAATCATAAGTTGGGCTCTAGGGCTCACTTATAATCAACAATCTCCCACTAGCAATAAGTCCAATTATGAATTTAAGAAATGCCCATGCACGAAGTGTGACCCTCGTGTCTAGGTTTTCCCAAAGCGTAGGTCAATGGATTTATAGATTGTCATCTATTTCTATTTTGCAAATCTTTACATTATATAATCTAAGTGATTACTTCTAATGTCGTATTTAGTCTTGGTGAGACTAAGGTTCATTGGCGTGTGATAATCCATCGTTGTCATTACAACGGATGGTATCTTCATACTAAGAACCATATTAAGCTCATAGCTCTCGACCCAAACACCTTGCTCAGTTGCTTCAAAAGCTTCTAAGTACTATACTTCTATAGTTGAACTTTGGTAGTGTCATCAAGCTCCTTTAGCTTATTTTACTACTACTCAAATGTTGTAACCTTTCTGCGATGTGTATACTATACATATGTGGAAATCACACAAGATGATTTCTTCATTTCATATAGCACCATCGTTGGGTGGTATGTGTTGAAACACGGGTTTATCACGTTTTCGTACTAAAGCCGTGTTCGTTTTTATGACAGGTTTTGATAATGCCAAAGCGCCGTGAACGAGACAAGTTGTTGAATATACAAGGCGAGAAATAAATATAAGAAGAAAGCAAGATAACAAGAGCTAAAAGAGACCAAGAACGAAGACCGTAGTCTTTAGCGTCGTTGAGTCGGTCACAATGTGATCAAGACCGACCCAAGCTTTGCAATTTGGCCCTTTAGGCTAAAACATTTTTATTGCATTTTACATATCATCAAAATTATTTTCAAACATGTCTAAACATATTAAAAACACTTAGTGTTCGCCCAAACGAAAAACCAAGCCATCCGGGGTTCGGCTTTCAGAAACTGGCATTCGGTTTTTAGAAACCGGCGTTCGGCATTCAGTTATCGGCATTGGTTTTTGGCGTCCGAACCAACCAAGTGGTTTTCAACTTTTTATGTTTGGTTTTTACTTCTGGGCACATTTAAATAGTTTTTCATAAAAAACACTTCAAAAACCACCTTTCGTTTTTGTCGTTTGATAAAAACCATGCGAAACGGCATAAACTTGGCTAGCCATGGTTTTTACTTAAATGAAGTGGTTTTCGAGTCTTTTTATGTGGGAATTGTTTTTGAATGCATTTAAATGGTTCTCCAATCAAAACATCATGAAAACCACCTTTCGATTTTGTCTTTTGGTAAAAACCACCCGTGTACGGCGTTGACTTGGTCAACCATGGTTTTTACCTCAACGACGTGGTTTTCAACTTAAAAATCTTTTTTTGACATCACAATACATTACATAAGTGTTTTAAATACTTAGTTTTTACTTTGGAGAACTTTGCATTTTTCGGTCGGGTTTCAGCACCAGTCAGCTAGGCCATGGTTCTAGACTACCCATCTACCCAGCGATGGTAGATATCACCCATCCATGGGTGAGTGATCCCAGGATTCCAAAATCATGCCACCCAGCGATGGGAGATATTACCCATTGATGGGTAAGCAGGCTTTAGCCCAACTTAATTCCAGAACCATGCCAAACAGCGATGGGAAGCTCTACCCATCGCTGTGCAAGCCTTGGTCCAATATAATCACAAGGCAGAATGCCCTTACCCAGCGATGGGAAGCTTTACCCATTGATGGGAACCCAGCGATGGGAGGGCATACCCATCGCTGGTTAGGCATGACCGTTGTGAGTCATTTAAGGCTGATTCTTTCCTTGTTTGAAAGTCAACCTCCCACCCAGCGATGAGAAGCATTTACCCATCGATGGGTAGGTGACCGTTGGCTTCAAAACTGAAGGAAAATTGGCTTACTAGCGACGGGTAAGTCCATACATCGCTGGGAAAGCCAATATCGTGCTGATCCACATTTTAATATCAACCCCATAAATCATGCCAATCACCCCTTTAATGCCTTGATCCGTTGGAGCCTATTTTGGCACTATAAAAAGGGGTGTTTGGGTCTGCTTTACTCACCAATTCACTTCACAATATACATATCATCATTGCATTCAAACAACATCATTTCCATAGCTTTATAGAGCCAATTCGTGTGAAGTTTGAGTTGTTCTTGAGCGTATATTTTACTCAACATCTACTCTTAAAGATAGTCTTGTTCTTGAGTGTTCTTAGTGTTGTATACATGTTAAGGGAAGCTTGTTTCCCTTGGTTGTACGAAGGAAAGGTATTTTCCTTCGGGTTGAAGTTTTGGAGTGCGGTATCTCCGAGCAAGTGTTGTTGAGGCTCGTGGGACTCAAGTTATCGTGTTGTAACGGTTTGTTAAGCACCTGTAAGCTTAACGGAAGTAGTGTAGCTCAAGAGAGTCTCTCGGGAGACTAGATTAGCCACACGTTGTGGTGAACCAGTATAAATCTTGGTGTGCTCCCTTTACACTTTCTACGCTCTTTACGTTTCACGTTCTTAATTATTTATTCCTGCGATTTCTACGATCAAACGCTATTCACCCCCCCTCTAGCGTTGGTCATTTATTCTAACAATTGGTATTGGAGCCTAACTCGCGTCCAAATTTAACCGTTTGATAGAAAAGCGATCATGGGTTCTTCTTCTAGAAATCTTTATGCAGGGATTGGAGAAGGTCAATCAACCTCTAGGCCACCGCTCTTGGATGGCACTAACTACACGTATTGGAAGGAGCAGATGAGAATCTATATCCGCTCAACCAACTTCCAATTGTCGTTGGTCATCAAGAATGGCTAAGAGATGCCAATGAAAAAGGTTGGAGAAACACTCGTCCCAAAAACTGAGGACGAATTTGATGCCGAAGACATCAAAAAGGTAGAGAACTATGCAAAGGCCATTAACATGCTCTACTGCGCGGTCAATCCCGATGACTATCGTAAAATCTACTGCTGCACAACCGCCAAGGAGATGTGGGATAAGCTCGAGGTAACATACGAAGGCACGGACCAAGTTCGAGTAGCCAAAATTGACTTCCTCACGCATGAGTACGAGTTGTTCAAGATGAAAGAAGGCAAGAAAATCGACGACATGTTCGATCGCTTCTCGAAGATCATCAATGATCTTCACGCCCTCAAGAAGACGTACGCCAACAGGGACCTCGTGAGGAAAATCTTGCGGACCCTCACCCCCGAATGGAGATCAAAGGCCGATGCCATCTATGAATCCATTGGAGTCTCCAATGTCACCATCGACGGTTTAAGAGGTAATTTAAAAACTTATGAATCTACTATTCTAACTGTAACACCCTAATCCGTCCAGGTCTGCAGCCCCTTTCGGACTAAAGTATAAACTTGGTATTCGTAAACATTCAAAATATTTCAAATATTTAAAACTTTATTTCATAATAAATAATTAAAAATAGTAACGGAGTAATTTAATGTTGCGGAAGCTTAATAAAACATAATACAGACATAATTAATTTATGTCTTTTCAAACAGTAATTTAAATCCAAAACACACATCCGTCCGATCTTCTCGTCCCATCTGCCTCCAGGAAATCATTTCTTCATTCTTTTTGTTTACCTGCGTGTAGCAAATAAAACATACTACACGCTCAGCGTTTAAGCTGAGTAAGCATATCTAATGCGTCAAACATCCATATAAACTCAATCTAAATTCATAATCAAACCCATTTGATATCATGCACATAATGTTCAGCTCAGGTACTCAATAATCATAAGTCAATATTCAACATTCATTATATTATTTTCACATTTTATCCGTCATTCATAATAATCACAATATTCAATTCAATATTTATTCATATTCAATATTCAACAGTATCCTTATACTATTCTTAGTCTAAAGCCAATCACTTTAATATTTGTCAACCCTTAAATGAATTCTAGTTTAAATTATTAAACTATATTCCAATATAAAGTATTCCTAAATAATCCTTAAGCTAGGCCTAGTTTAAGATAAAAGGGTTTTGAACATCTTAAACTTACCTTCACTTAAAGCCAACCAGAACCCGACAGCGTAGTGTTCACTGTTGGGTGGGTGGTACCCCCAAACGAGTAGGTACTCAAATTTGGTTCTTGGATCCTGTACGTACGTTTTAACCCTAGCCACCGGGGTTCATACCCGCAAGGCCTAACTTAAATAGGTATATCTTAGAGGTCTTCTAGATACCTTTCAAATCAACATTAATATGGGTATATCTTAGAGGTCTTCTAGATACCCTTAACAATATATTATTTTCACAATCATCAATATATTCATTATGATTAAATCATTCACAATTATCATTTTAATCATATTATTCATTAAGATTTAATCATCATAATCATCAATCAATAATTATTACCATAATCATTAATCAACATAATATTCAATAACAACTAGCGGCCTAGCTTCGGGTGTTAACACCCTAACTTACCGTCATGCATCACATAACATTTTATTTGTTAAAAATATTACTTTTAATGTGAAAAATCATTTTTATAATGATCATAATCAATTGTTATAAAAAATAGGATTTTAGAGCTCAAAAATAACATTTTCAGACAAATTTTCGGATCAGAAATTCGGGGGATCGATCCAGCCCTCTGGATCGATCCATACTATGAAAAATCACTCCCAGGGGATCGATCCAAGCCCCTGGATTGATCCAGACAGTGGCTTTTCAGCCACTGTTCATCGTCTTCTACCTCACGACTCCAATTTTGGAAATTCATTTTTAGGTTCCAAACTTCGATTAAACTATATAGAAATGTTCTCCAAGGTTCATAGATCATTTTGGAATCATTAATTCATAGTTTTAACATCAATTTAATCGTTTATGATTCTTGGTTCTTCAAGCATGTCAAACACAAAACTCAACCAAACGACCGTTTATGAACGTAGAAACGATCTATATGAACATTCTAGTCATTAGATATATCTACGGGCTTACCTCGAAGCGTAATGGAGGTTTTGAAGTTTTTCCGGCGAAACTTCCGGTGAGGATTGTGCCTATCTCCGGTGACAGGAAGCTCTCTTGACAACACTACTTCACTCTCTACACTCTTAGCTATCTCTTGGAAGAAGAATGGTGAAAAATGGTGAAGTTTAAAGAGGTTTATATAGTGGAGTGGAGAGGAAGAAGACATAGGTTTGGTGACATCTGTTTCCCTGTTCTGGCGTCTCGGTGGAGGGAGCGGCTTTTGCTAGGATTCCCAGACGCAAGTCCCTGATTGGGACTAATTTGGTCCCAGTCGGGGAACACTTTTTGGTCCAACTTTCTCCGAATTGAAATCCGATTGAACCGTTGGAATCAGACAGTCAAACTCTACATAATGATAAAATTTTTATTATTTATTGACCAACTTTATAATTCACATATTTTTGGGTCCTTCTCAGTAATTAATTAATTATCAATTAATTAATTCTGATAGGCCTATTTTCGGGGCGTTACATTTCTCCCCCGTTTAAAATAATTTCGTCCTCGAAATTACCTGAGTCATTGATTGAAGAGGTTCGGATATTGCATTCTTATTGACTCTTCAGTTTCCCATGTTGCTTCTTCAGTCGAGTGATTCCTCCATAGTACTTTGACTAGAGGGACAGATTTGTTTCTTAGTTCCTTGACTTCACGTGCCAAAATTTGGACAGGTTCTTCTTCATAAGTCAAATTTTCATCAAGAGTTACAGTTCCATCGGTCAAGACATGCGATGGATCAGAACGGTNGACATCGCTGTTCTAGGCTTGCGTTTTGAAAATTGGGAAGCAACGGTCATGCCAACAGCGATGTCCAATACTCCTACATCGCTGTTTTGGCTGTTGACTTCCAAACAAGGAAAGTTTTAGCCTTAAATTCCTTCCAACGGTCAGGTCCCTACATCGATGTTCAATACTTGAACATCGCTGTTTAGGTCTGACTTTGAAGGTGGAGTTTTTGGCCTGACAGCGCTGTTGCTAGGTCAACATCGCTGTCCAAAAACTTTCTGCCAATGCACTATATTTTTGGCTTAGGTTGGACAGCGCTGTAGGGAAGGCTACATCGCTGTTCCAAATGTTTCTGGAAATCCAACCTTGGCTCAACAGCGATGTCTAATATGCAACATCGCTGTTGGAAGACTTAACGCCAAACCATGGTTTTCAGCTGCTCAAGCCAGACACCGCTGTTGGTAGCACCAACATCGCTGTTGGGCTGGTTTAGCCAGACCCATGGTTTGTTTAGTCAGCCGTTAGCCGATGTGAAAAAAGTAAGTTCTCCAAAAATAAAAACCGAGTATTGAAAATGTTTGTTTAATGCATTTTGCTAAGAAATCAAGTAAAACATTTTGAAGACCACGTCATTTAGTTGAAAACCACGGCTAGCCAAGTTTACGCCGTTTCGCATGGTTTTCACTGAACGACCAAAAACGAAAGGTGGTTTTTGAAGCGTTTTTGTTGGAGAACTATTTAAATATGCCGAGAAGTAAAAACCAATCATAAAAAGGTGAAAACCACTTGGTTGGTTCGGATGCCAAAAACCAATGCCGAAAACCGAAAGCCGAACGCCGGTTTTTGAAAGCCGAACGTCGGATGACTTGGTTTTTGGTTGGGGCGAACTCCAAGTGTTTTTAGCCATGTTTAAAAACTTATGAAAAACACTTTTGAATTTGCAAAAAGGGTTTTGATGAATTGAGCCTAGAGAGCCAAGATTTGGAAGTTTGTGCCGGTCTTGATCACATTAGGACCGACTCAATGCAATTCTAATTCTTTGTCCTTGATTCTTGGTTCTTGGTTCTCATGTCATCATGTCATGTTTCTTCGCCTTGGTCTTTGCTCACTTTAGCCTTGTTGTGTCACGGCGGTTTGGCATTATCAAAACCTGTCATAAAACGAACACGGTTTAGTACGACATAGGCGTAAACCCGTGTTCCAACAATAGTCGATATAGCAGTCGTAATCTTTGATAAGTTCCAGCCATCTTCTTTGTCTCAGATTCAACTCTTTCTTAGTTAACATGTATTTCAGACTTTTATGGTCTGTATGAATATATGTCGTTTCTCCGAAGAGATAATGACGCCATATTTTCAGAGCAAATACAACTGCTGCTAACTCAAGATCATGGGTGGGATAGTTACATTCATGAGGCTTCAACTGCCTTGATGCGTATGCCACGACCTTACCGTCTTGCATAAGTACACATCCCAAGCCATTATGAGATGCGTCACTAAAGATTGTGTAGTTTACACCTGGTACTGGTTGTGCTAGTACATGTGCTTCTGTGAGACATTTCTTTAGTTTTTCAAAGCTTTGTTGGCATGCGTCGGTCCACACGAATTTCATGTCTCTCCTTAGGAGTTTGTTGAGTGGAGTTGTGATCGAGGAAAAACCTTCAACGAATCGTCGATAGTATCCAGCTAACCCTAGAAAACTTCTTACTTCTCGAACATTCCTTGGAACTTTCCACTCGGTGATGGCAGATATTTTGCTGGGGTCCACTTTGACACCTTCTTTCGAAATCACATGTCCTAGAAATGTGACTTCATCAAGCCAGAATTCACACTTTGACAATTTGGCATATAGTTTGTGCTCTCGTAGTACACTGAGTACTACCTCCAGGTGTTTCGCATGGTCTTCTCGAGTCTTCGAGTACACAAGAATATCGTCGATGAACACAACAACGAATTGATCAAGATATGGTCGGAATATACTATTCATGAGATCCATGAATACTGCAGGAGCATTGGTCAAACCAAAGGGCATCACTGTAAACTCATAATGACCATAACGAGTACGAAATGCGGTCTTTGGGATGTCCTCTTTCTTGACAGGAATTTGATGGTATCCTGACCGTAAGTCAATCTTAGAGAATACAGTAGATTCTCTAAGCTAATCAAATAAGTCATCGATACGGGGTAAAGGATAACGATTTTTGATTGTGACTTTATTTAATTGACGGTAATCGATGCAGAGTCTCATCGAGCCGTCTTTCTTCTTTACAAACAGAACGGGTGCTCCCCATGGGGAAACACTCGGTCGAATGAATCCTTTATCAAGTAATTCTTGTAATTGAGCCTTCAATTCCTTCAATTCAGCAGGAGCCATACGATAGGGAGTTGCTGATATCGGTCCTGTTCCAAGAACAAGATCGATGGAAAATTCTACTTCTCTGGTAGATGGTATACCAGGAAGCTCATCAGGAAATACATCAGAAAAGTTACACACCGTTGGTATGTCCTTCAATCCAGGAGTTTCTTTTGATGTGTCTCGTACATTACATAAATAGGCTTCACATTTCTTGCGGATAATACGCCTAGCATGTATGTACGAGATGAATTCAGTAGGTGTGGGTGTCAGTTTTTCTTTCACTTCTATGGTCCTTCCATCATTGTTTTTCAGTTGTATCACCCGTCGTCGGCAATCGATAACAGCTTGATGTTCCGTAAGCCAATCCATACCGAGAATGATGTCGAATTCCTTGTACAGTAATTCAACAAGATTTGCAAGGAATTGTTGTCCTTCGACAATCAACGGACAATCTTGGTATCCATAATCTAACCTCATACTATGTCCTAGTGGATTAGACACTAGTATAGGGTGTTTTAAGTTTTCTTTCAATATGTCAGCTTTGTTAGGCATAGGTACAAAGATGTAAGATAATGTTGATCCAGGATCAATCAGCACATGCATGACAGTATCGAATAATGAAAACTTACCCTGAATGACGTCAGGGTTATCTTCAATGCATCCCTTCATGGCATACGTACGGGCAGGCACTCGTCCTTGTTGTTGGTTTTGATTTTTAACAGGATTAGATCCTGCAGTCGAGCGTTGACTGGGTGCGGGATGTGTTGATGCCGCCTGACTAGCAATAGAGGCAGGTGAAAATGGCTCCCCAGGATTTGTGGGACAGTTCTTTCGGAAATGTCCAGGTTTTCCACAACCTAGACATAATCCTTGAGCAAGCCAACATTCCCCAGGATGGTGTCTCCCACACATATTACACATTGGATTTTTCCATCCCCTTAACTTGTTGCCAGACGCCACTGATTGGGTTTGTACAGATTTCCCCTTCTTAGAGTAGTGTGAGCTACTGGGTCCTTAAAATGGTCTTTTCCCACTCGGGACAGAATTTGTGGGTCGGCGTTCACTTGTGTTAGCACCTTCTTTCTTCAAGTACTCCTTACAAGCATTCAGATCTTTGTCTGCTTTAGCAATTAGATCATAGGCTTCCGTGAAGTCCACCGTTGGTATGACAGATACTTGAGCCCTGAGATCGGGTTGGAGTTTTGACCTGAATTCCTCAATACGGTCAGTCGTGGTGCTTACTAATGTCGGTGCAAATTTGGCCAAACTGACAAACTTTTGGCGATATTCGGGAAGCGTCATATCTCCTTGTCGTAACTCCACAAATTCGGTACGTTGCTCTTCACGGAAACGTGCTGGGATATACTCTTTCTTGAAAGCCCAGTCGAAGAACTCCCACGTCCATGGCTTCGGGGTTTCGTTGCTCTCATCGGTGCGTTTCCACCATTCGTAGGCTTCTCCACAAAGTAACTGTGCTGCGAACCTAGGGTAGTCGTTGAGAGGTACGTTTAGATCTCTCAACACTCTAGCGGTTTGTTCAATCCAATTCCAAGCAACTTGAGGTTCGGCGATTCGATCGCCCAGGAACTCTTCTGCTCCATTATCTTTCAGAAATTTGAAAGTGATCACACGCGGTGGCGGCGGTGGTGGTGGTTGAAACATTGGAGCATTGGCCACTTGTTGAAGTAAGTTTGCCAAGAAAACAGGAATTGCGTAGTCAGGTTGACCACCAGCATTCGCATTGTTCTGAGGAACATCCTCTTGGTTGATAGGCTCGTTTTGGATAGGAGGGGTGAAGCTAGATGCTTCAGTGTGAACACTTATGTGTTCACTGTTGCCTTGTCCGTGTGCGGTTTCTTGACTCATTCTACAATTAACAGAAATTCCTTTATTAGGATTCTTTATTTGGGTAGTTGAGTTCATGACAGAAATTACAAAAGATTACAATAATTGATACAATCAAGGGATTCGATCAACAAGATTTATTCTAAGCATTTGCGTTTGAATAGTTGGATTTTCTTGAATTTACGGAAGGATCTTCCACACCGGATCCGCAGATGCTGTTGGTAGAGTCTATGCTGAACGTCTCTTCCGGGTCATCCCGTTCCCATGCAGCCTTGCGGCGCAGATAAATCCTTCTTTTCATTATTTTCGCGAAGCGATGGGCGCGTTGATAGCGTATCAGGGAGTCATATACATTTCGTTTGTTCTTTCGTCTTTTACCATGTACGAAAGTGCGACTTGAATCAACACTTGATATCATTTCCGAATTAACAGTTGACATCTATGAAATTCAATACAGANCGGATCCGCAGATGCTGTTGGCAGAGTCTATGCTGAACGTCTCTTCCGGGTCATCCCGTTCCCATGCAGCCTTGCGGCGCAGATAAATCCTTCTTTTCATTATTTTCGCGAAGCGATGGGCGCGTTGATAGCGTATCAGGGAGTCATATACATTTCGTTTGTTCTTTCGTCTTTTACCATGTACGAAAGTGCGACTTGAATCAACACTTGATATCATTTCCGAATTAACAGTTGACATCTATAAAATTCATTACAGACACATTTAATACTTAGATTTTTGTTACCTTCTTGGAGCAAAGGGATGCGAGAGTCGTGGATGTGATTGACAATTTTTTTTTATATAGCCAAAATATATATGTATATAATACACACACACACACACACACACACACACATATATATATATATATTTAAATCCAAGTTTTGATCCGAAGATCGGGTTTAAAACCATTTGCTCCGATACCAAATTGTAACACCCTAATCCGTCCAGGTCTGCAGCCCCTTTCGGACTAAAGTATAAACTTGGTATTCGTAAACATTCAAAATATTTCAAATATTTAAAACTTTATTTCATAATAAATAATTCAAAATAGTAACGGAGTAATTTAATGTTGCGGAAGCTTAATAAAACATAATACAAACATAATTAATTTATGTCTTTTCAAACAGTAATTTAAATCCAAAACACACATCCGTCCGATCTTCTCGTCCCATCTGCCTCCAGGAAATCATTTCTTCATTCTTTTTGTTTACCTGCGTGTAGCAAATAAAACATACTACACGCTCAGCGTTTAAGCTGAGTAAGCATATCTAATGCGTCAAACATCCATATAAACTGAATCTAAATTCATAATCAAACCCATTTGATATCATGCACATAATGTTCAGCTCAGGTACTCAATAATCATAAGTCAATATTCAACATTCATTATATTATTTTCACATTTTATCCGTCATTCATAATAACCACAATATTCAATTCAATATTTATTCATATTCAATATTCAACAATATCCTTATACTATTCTTAGTCTAAGGCCAATCACTTTAATATTTGTCAACCCTTAAATGAATTCTAGTTTAAATTATTAAACTATATTCCAATATAAAGTATTCCTAAATAATCCTTAAGGTAGGCCTAGTTTAAGATAAAAGGGTTTTGAACATCTTAAACTTACCTTCACTTAAGGCCAACCAGAAACCGACAGCGTAGTGTTCACTGTTGGGTGGGTGGTACCCCCAAACGAGTAGGTACTCAAATTTGGTTCTTGGATCCTTTACGTACGTTTTAACCCTAGCCACCGGGGTTCATACCCGCAAGGCCTAACTTAAATAGGTATATCTTAGAGGTCTTCTAGATACCTTTCAAATCAACATTAATATGGGTATATCTTAGAGGTCTTCTAGATACCCTTAACAATATATTATTTTCACAATCATCAATATATTCATTATGATTAAATCATTCACAATTATCATTTTAATCATATTATTCATTAAGATTTAATCATCATAATCATCAATCAATAATTATTACCATAATCATTAATCAACATAATATTCAATAACAACTAGCGGCCTAGCTTCAGGTGTTAACACCCTAACTTACCGTCATGCATCACATAACATTTTATTTGTTAAAAATATTACTTTTAATGTGAAAAATCATTTTTATAATGATCATAATCAATTGTTATCAAAAATAGGATTTTAGAGCTCAAAAATAACATTTTCAGACAAATTTTCGGATCAGAAATTCGGGGGATCGATCCATACTATGAAAAATCACACCCAGGGGATCGATCCAAGCCCCTGGATCGATCCAGACAGTGGCTTTTCAGCCACTGTTCATCGTCTTCTACCTCACGACTCCAATTTCGGAAATTCATTTTTAGGTTCCAAACTTCGATTAAACTATATAGAAATGTTCTCCAAGGTTCATAGATCATTTTGAAATCATTAATTCATAGTTTTAACATCAATTTAATGGTTTATGATTCTTGGTTCTTCAAGCATGTCAAACACAAAACTCAACCAAACGACCGTTTATGAACGTAGAAACGATCTATATGAACATTCTAGTCATTAGATATATCTACGGGCTTACCTCGAAGCGTAATGGAGGTTTTGAAGTTTTTCCGGCAAAACTTCCGGTGAGGATTGTGCCTATCTCCAGCGACGGGAAGCTCTCTTGACAGCACTACTTCACTCTCTACACTCTTAGCTATCTCTTGGAAGAAGAATGGTGAAAAATGGTGAAGTTTAAAGAGGTTTACATAGTGGAGTGGAGAGGAAGAAGACATAGGTTTGGTGGCATCCGTTTCCCTGTTCTGGCATCTTGGTGGAGGGAGCGGCTATTGCTAGGATTCCCAGATGCAAGTCCCTGATTGGGACTAATTTGGTCCCAGTCGGGGAACACTTTTTTGTCCAACTTTCTCCGAATTGAAATCCGATTGAACCGTTGGAATCAGACAGTCAAACTCTACATAATGATAAAATTTTTATTATTTATTGACCAACTTTATAATTCACATATTTTTGGGTCCTTCTCAGTAATTAATTAATTATCAATTAATTAATTCTGATAGGCCTATTTTCGGGGCGTTACACTAACCCCGTCTTTGGATGAACAAAAAAAGGGGATAGCACTGAAAGCAACCAAGGAAACGGTTGAAGAGGAATCAAGTGATGAAGACAATGAGTTTGACCTCATCATCAAGAAATTCCACAAATTTATGAAGAAAGAGCACGAGCACAAAGGAAAGAAGCACAACGGTTCCCCAAAGTGCTATGGATGTGGTGAGATCGGTCACATCAAACCAAGATGTCCAAAAGCCAAGAATGCCAAGGACAAACGTGGGCTCAAGAAGAAACAAGCATACATCTCTTGGGGAGGAGACTCCGACGATGAGTCAAGCGAGCAAGAGGAAGGCGAAGAAGCAAACCTTTGTCTCATAGCTCAAGAAGAAGAGGAGTCATCCAACGACGAAAACCAAGAGGTATGTATTTCTTCTACCGATTCTTATTCTTTTGAAGAAATGCAAGAAGCTCTCAAAGAGCTTTATGACGAGTTTGTTAACGCTTCTAAAACCAACAAAATTTTAAAGAAACATTTTTCTAATCTTGAAGATGAACTTGAAAAACTTCAAAAGGAAAACAAAAAACTAAAAGAGGAAAATAAATTTTATGGTAAAAGAAGCGCTGACAAACTCGAGAGCTTTACGAAAAATTGTGACTCTTGCATTGCGTTAAAAGAACAAGTTGCTAAACTAGAAAACACGGTGAAGAAATTTAATAAACCACATAATGTTAGCCTTGGTTTGCTAAGCCTCATGTTTTGATGTTAACAAACAATATAAGAGCTTAACGTTTGTTTAAGTGTTTCAGGAAAAACAAAAATCCATTAAGATTCGGTACTCAAGAATGAAGTCAAAACACTAAACTAGCGTAGAATATAGGTAGAAACCGATGTAAGGATATGACTTTATATACCTATATTCACAAGCTCAAAAGCACTCACAAAATATGTTTAAAACCATCCCATAAACATTTTCAAACATCTAAAAGGTTTTAAACTCAAAAACGAAGGATTAAGGGAATTTTGGAAAAATCAGGACAGTGGCACGGTACCCCTAGCGGTACCCCAAACGGTAGGGTATACCGCCGACACGGTACCACCATACCGTGTAACGGTACCTAGGTACCGGACGGTAGGCGTAGACGGTTGGCCCAACCCGTCCTAACCAGGTACCGCCAGAGCCGAATGGATTTTTGGTGTTACACGGTACCGAGGTACCGCCACTCACGGTACCCCCTACCGTACACACGGTACCATGCTACCGTGTGAACGGTACCGGCCTACCGTGACCGTTGGGTTACTGTTCCTGATGTGAGATTTTGAATTAAATCAACCCTAATCACCTCCCAACGGCTAATTAACATCTTCCACTATAAATACAAGCCTAATCCTTCATATTTCTTCAAGAAACAAAGCTCTAAACATCCTCTCTTTTTATTCTAAGTGTGTTCATCCTTTTATTAATTATTTTCAATATTTTGGCTATTTTAAGAGCCTTAAATTCCTGATTTTTATACACACACTTTGAGCTTGTGTTTCTAGTTANAATTAACATCTTCCACTATAAATACAAGCCTAATCCTTCATATTTCTTCAAGAAACAAAGCTCTAAACATCCTCTCTTTTTATTCTAAGTGTGTTCATCCTTTTATTAATTATTTTCAATATTTTGGCTATTTTAAGAGCCTTAAATTCCTGATTTTTATACACACACTTTGAGCTTGTGTTTCTAGTTATATACTCTCATATTCATAAGTTTGAATTGTATTTTTGAGAAAGTATACTTTCCTTCTACACCGGCTAAGTTTTGTTCTTCATTTTAATATTCTAGCCGTTGTGTATAATCTACTTTTGTGTTCTTCAAATACATCTTCTTACGGTCGAGAATAGCCGTAAAATTCTCACGTTGTAACGGTTAAGGATAGCCGTATAAATCCTTGGGTAAAGGTTCAAGGATAGCCTTTGAAATCCTTGGGGGAACGGTAGAAGATAGCCGTTAAATCTTCGTTGTAAACGGTTCGAGATAGCCGTTGTGAAATCTTGGAGTGAATCCTATTGGCAAGGGTTGTTTGCCAAAACTAGTGCG